GACGACGACGATGCTGATGATGATGCTGCTGCTGGTGATGATGATGATGATGATGATGCTGATGATGATGATGATGATGATGCTGATGATGCTGCTGCTGCTGATGATGATGATGATGATGATGATGACGAGGGCGACGACGACGACGCAAACGCCTACGACGACGACGACGGCGACGACGACGGCGACGAAGACGCGGACGACGATGATGATGCTGATGATGGTGATGATGATGTTGACGATGCTGATGATGCTGACGATGATGACGAGGATTATGCTTATGACGTGCCGACGATGATGATGAGGGGATGGTGATGACGAGGCTGATGGTGATAATGATGCTGATGCTGATGTTGATGATGCTCATGATGATGATGCTGATGCTGCTGATGATGTTGATGTTCATTCTGCTGCTCATGATGACGACGACGATGCTGATGATGCTGCTGCTGCTGATGATGCTGGTGATGGTGATGGTGATGATGATGATGATGATGATGATGATGATGATGATGATGATGATGATGACGAGGGCGAAGACGACGACGACGACGCAAGCGCCTGCGACGACGACGACGACGGCGACGACGACGGCGACGAAGACGAGGACGACGACGACGACGACGATGATGATGATGCTGATGATGATGATGGTGGTGGTGGTGGTGGTGATGATGATGACGATTATGATGATGATGATGATGATGATGATGATGATGATGATCATCATGCTGCTGCTGATGGTAATGATGGTGGTGGTGATGATGATGATGGTGATGGTTATGGTGATGGCGATGGTGATGGTGATGATGATGATGAGGAGGACGATGATGACGATGATGATGCTGAAGGTGATGATGATGATGGTGATGATGGTGGTGATGATGGTGGTGGTGATGATACTGATGATTCTGATGATTCTATTGATGATGACGATGATGACGATCATGAGGGTGATGATCAGGATGATGATGATGATGATGATGATGATGACGACGACGACGAAGATGATGATGATGATGATGATGATGATGATGATGATGATGATGATGATGGGGGATGGTGATGATCATGACGATGATGACGACGCTGGGGGTGATCATGGTGATGGTGATGCTGGTGGTGATGGTGATGCTGATCATGCTGACGATGCTGATGATGCTGATGGTGATGATGATGGTGATGATGATGGTGATGGTGATGATAATTATTGTGATGGTGATGATGATGATGATGATGATGGTGACAATGATGATGACGCTGGTGATGATGATGATGATGGTGATGGTGATGTTGGTTCTGATGAGGATGATCACGATGATGATGATGATGATGATGATGATGATGATGATGATGATGATGATGATGGTGGTGGTGGCCATTTTGATGGTGATGATGATGATGATGGTGATGGTGATGATTATGATGATGGTGGTGATGATGTTGGTGATGATGGTGATGATGGTGATGATGGTGATGATGATGATGACGCTGGTGATGATGATGATGGTGATGGTGATGATGGTGGTGGTGGTGATGATGATGGTGATGATGGTGGTTGTGGTGGTGGTCGTGGTGGTGATGATGATGATGTTGATGATGATGCTGATGACGATGATGTTATGATGATGGTGATGATGATGATGACCTTGATGATGACCATGATGATGACCATGATGATGATGATGACGATGATGATGGTGATGATGATGATTGTGGTGGTGGTGGGGATGATGATGGTGATGGTGATGATGCTGATGATGTTGATGATTGTGGTGGTGGTGGGGATGATGATGGTGATGGTGATGATGCTGATGATGTTGATGATGATGATGATGGTGGGTTGGTGATGATGATCATGGTGGATGATGATGATGGCGAAGGTGATGATGAGGATGATGATGATGATGATGGTGATAGTGAAGATGATGGTGATGATGATGGTGATTCTGCTGATGATGATGATGACGGTGGTGGTGGTGATGATGGTGATGATGACGGTGGTGGTGGTGGTGATAATGTGATGGCGATGATGATGATGATGATGATGATGGTGATGATGATGGTTGATGATGATGATGGTGATGATGATGATGATGAGGATGATGGTGATGATGACGGTGGTGGTGGTGGTGATAATGTGATGGCGATGATGATGATGATGATGATGGCGATGATGATGATGATGATGATGATGATGATGATGATGCTGATGATGGTGATGGTGATGGTGATGGTGATGGCGATGGTGATGGTGATGGTGATGATGGTGATGATGGTGATGGTTATGGTGGTGGTGGTGATGATGAGTCTGATGATGATGGTGATGAGGATGATGATGGTGATGATGATGATGGTGGTGGTGATGATGGTGGTGATGGTGTCGGTGTCGGTGGCGGTGGTGATGGTGATGGTGATGGTGATGGTGATGATGATGGTTAATGTGATGGCGATGGTGGTGGTGGTTGTGATGGTGGTGGTGATGGTGATGATGATGGTGGTGATGATGTTGATGATGGTGATGGTGATGGTGATGGTGATGGCGGTGGTGGTGGTAGAGGAGGAGGAGGAGGAGGAGGAGACTGAGGAGGAGCAGGAGGAGGCTGAGGAGGAGGCTGAAGAGGCTGAGGATGAGAAGGGGGGAGGGGGAAAGGGAAGGCGGGGGAGGACGGTGACGGGACGTGGACGAGGAGGAGGGACCGAATCCGTGGAACGCCCCGCCTACGATGTCCGCGCTTTCGGCAGCGCTTGGCTGCGGGTGCACCCGCTGCCTTGGCCAACCTTGGAGGCGTTCGGAAGAGTTCGGCCAGGCTTGCGTGGTCGAGACAGCTTGGATACGGGCTGCAAAGTCAGAGGCGTGGGACCGTCCAAGCGGGCCTCGGCCCTCCCGGCAGCTCCCTTGCGGAGCCAGGCAGCCGGCTGCCGTTCCGTTCCGTTCCTGACGGGGCAGCTTCCAGACTCTGTCGATTCGCTTTCTGCCCCGGAGGGTCTCCAGCACGATGCCCTGGGACCATCTTGCGGCGCGTCCGGGAAATTGATGGCGTCAGAGATGCGCTACAGTCGACACTGATAGTGAGGTTGATCGACTTCCCAAGGGTACCCTTGCATCCTTGCCTCTTCGGTCATCTTCGGTCCATTCTCAACCACTTCCCATGGCCAGCACCGCCCGAAAAGCTTCGGCACTGGCTTCCAAGCCCGTGCATCCTCACCGCGCATCCTTACTACCAGCTTTGATTGCGCTGTGAGGAGGCCGTCTCAGAAGGCGGCGGGGCTTCCCAGAAGCCCCCTGGTGACTTCCGAGCCTTCTGAGAAGGCCCGCCCCTTCTCACTTCCCTTCCTCGCTCGCCGCTGATCTGGGGCAGTCTTGGGGCATTTTGGACCGCGCGTCCTGAGCTGCGGTTTCCGAGGTCTGGCGTCGTGTGGCGTCGTGGCCCAGACTCCCCTTGGCGGGGCGACGCCGCGTGCGCGCTCCGCAGGGGCCGCCCGATATGCCGCGTTGTGAGCGCCCCAGAAGCGTCCGCGAGTGGAGGGTTCTCGGGCGGGTGGCAATGGGGGGGGTGACCTAAGTGACGGGTGAAGAAAAAGGGCCTCAAGGGGGCCTTTTCATACTCCGTTTCGAAGCCAGCAGGGGTTCAAAAGGAGCCCCAAAGGGCCCCTGTAGGGACCTTCTCTTCACGCCCCAGTTAGGTCACCCCCCGTTACCATTCGCCCGAGACAACTCGAGCTGTGAGAGACTCGGGGCTCAAGTGACTCAGGAGCAATGATAAGGGAGGGATAGGCATAGGGGGGGTCGCATCGACTCCCAATCGCCCAGATCGCCGATAGGGGTCTGATAGCCCCACCCCGCCCAGGAACGTGCGGATTTGCTCTCGGGGGCCTACTGTCGATCTATCGGCGATGTATTGCCAATTCCAGGTCGGTGTTCCCCCACTATGACAGTCCACCCCTATCGTTGTCCCTCAGTGACGGGGGTCAATGCAAACGGGAGTCAGCCAGAGCGCTGGATCTTGCAGGATCCTGCAGAGCCAGGGGTGCGTTGACTCAGGCCAGCGCGCAAAATCCTGCATGATCCTAGAGGATTTTGAGGGATCCTGCGAAGCCTGCCTGACCACGGTTTGCATTGACCCGATTCAGTGGAAGCACGAGGGGTCTGGGCCCCTCAAATCAGCACGAGCGAAATGAGTATTGAAATAATGTACGGTCGGGAACTTTGGATAGCGTGTTGCTCCGCTGGTTCTGGCCCACCGCGATTCGGTGCGACACGTCATCCACTTCCCGGCTCCCCAGCACCAACGTCCCGAGCGTTTCCCGACTTCCCGCCCCGCGGAGTGGAGCGACACTCTTCCACTCGCAGGGCATAGCGTGTTGCTGGGGCCGCCGCCGCGACAGGCTTAGCAATAGTTCCTGACCTGAGATCAAGGCCGGCAGCTGTTCCTGTCCACTTTGAGCAGGACTCGCCGTTGGCGTCTCCGCGGGGGCGTTGTTCGTTTGAGACATTCGCCCGACCACCAGTGCCCGCTGTCGGTTTTGGATGACATTTGCTGTTCGGCATCGTATCCATCGTTTTCGTACAGTTTTCGCTCGTGCCGATCAAATGATATTCATAATATTTAGCACACGGACCTCGGAGGTACATAGGGATACTCCGCTCCAGGGCCTGCGGCATGGTGACGGACATGTGTGCTGAGCTTGAGGGGCAGGCAGGTGCGGCCTGGGCAGAATTTCTGAAGCCACGCTCTTCTGGTCCAAGATCAGGGACGTAGAGTGTCTGGATTCGTCGCGCCACTTTTCGGTCCGCACTGGATGACGAAACCAGGCTCGGACCCCACCGAGACGATATGGCCCTCAAGCGTGGCTGTCGCGCTTCAGTCTGCTATTTACAAACCTTCGATCTCTTCCTCTGGCCTCTCCTGCTCATCCTCCCCCCTTTCTCATTACGCTTCGACCAGTGGCCGCAGCGGTCCCCGAAAGGGTCTCGGCTCTTATTCGGGATCCGTCAGGCCGAGATCTTCCCCCGGATCCTGCACTGCCTGAAGGACATGGACGAGTTCGTGCGGAAAAACGCGGCGACTTGCATCAGGGATTGGCAGCGGCAGGAGGAGGAGGAGGAGGAGGAGGAGGAGGAGGAGGAGGAGGAGGAGGAGGAGGAGGAGGAGGAGGAGGAGGAGGAGGAGGAGGAGGAGGAGGGGCAGAACAGCGAAGGCCAGTGCACCTGCTTCCCAGGCCGAGCCACCGATCCTGGGACCCGGGCGGGCCTGTCCAGGACCGGCGTGCAGCCAAGCCGCTCCAGGAAGGGCCTCTGCGGGCTCCCAGTCTGCAGGCTGTTGGCGAATCGGGGGCGGAAAAGAGGGGGGTGATGACTAGGGGGGGGTGGATATCATGGCGTGGGCCATGATATCTCCCCAGATTTCGCGGCGCCTCTTCTTACTATATTGCGTCCCTGGCCCCGCCGCTGGGCCGCGCACATGCCGCCGGTCATGATTTGCACCCCCCCCCCTCTTGGACACCCCCCTTTTTGGCCGCTCCCGAAGTGCACCTGCTTCCCAGGCCGAGCCACCGATCCTGGGACCCGGGTGGGCCTGGCCAGGACCGGCGTGCAGCCAGGACGCTCCAGGAAGAGCCTCAGCCACGCGCAGAGGGGGGTGGGGTGAGGGGGGAGGGCTTCTTAGAAGCACCCCTGCTTCTTGGAAGGCGCAGGCCTTCTCTATAGATGTAAGGCAGGCGCCTTCTAAGAAGCAGCCTCCTTCTAAGAAGCCCCCCCCCTCCCCCCACCCCCTCGTGCGCCCTGCCAAGAGCCTCCGCGGGCTCCCAGTCTGCAGGCTGTTGGCGAAGTGCGGGGGAAAACTCCGAGGGCTCAGGATGGGGCTCTGGCTTTCGGGCCGTGCCTTAGATTTTGGCGGGGGCCCCTGTTCGTGGCCGAGGCTCGCCGAGGCCTAGAGAAGCCCTTTCGTTCCTTCCTCAGCGTTTTTTTTATGACAGCGCACCATGGCTTTGGGCGTGTGGTCTGCGGCTCGGTACAATCGAAATGGGTACGGAACGAGTGGGTATGAAGACCGACACCATCGACCAAAAGACAAACGACGCCACCCCACCTACGGCCCTCCATGTTGCGCCACGGCCCATCGGGCGCCGTAGCGTATACCACGCGAAAGCCCACGCCAGATCTCCTGGTATACGCTGAGCCCCGTTGGGCCGTAGATGGTGGTGTCGCTCGTTTTCCGGTTCCTGCCAGCGGGGCTTCAGGTGACAGGGGGGCTGCGGGCTGCGCCAGCCCGGCCTCTCTTTGGGGAAGGAAGTCGGGTGCCTGCAGAAGAGAGTCGTAGGGTGCCTGCCAGGCTGGATGTTGAGGGGCTGCTGGGACGGAACCTTGAATGACATGTGACAAGCTCAATGGTAACGCATGCGATTCAAGCTATTTCCACTAGTGTTGATGCCACGACGGGAGCCGGCATATGCCGGCGCGATGATATGTATGGTTGTCGTGTGATCGTTCAGCCCCCAGGAGGCCCTAAGTTTGTGCCCCAGCACTAGCTGCACTCGGTCGCTTTCTCCCTGACCTGGCAGGCGGCCCAGGATCAGCTGGCTGCTGCGAGCAGCGCCGACGAGGGCATCACGCCCATCAGTCGGCTCTTCCCTCGGCGGCCGGCGGATGCCTCGATGGCGCCGGCGCTGGGAGCCATGCGTGGCGGAAAGAGAAAAGGGCTACACGGCCGTTGAGAGTGGCGCAAGCCGAGGATCAGCGTCGCGCAGGACGAGGCTGACTTGCAACGGCGCTCGAAAGCGGCGGCCGTGCTGAACGCCATCCTCGCCAAGCATAATTATGCTGGGCAGCGCTTTCGGGAGGAGGCGGAGACGGCCGGAGTACCGGCGTGGTCAGCGCGCTACGGCAGGTCTTGACCAACAATTTCGAGGTCTCCAGCATAAGCCACGCGGCGCGCACCTGGTAGAGGTGGGAGACATGGACGCAGCACCATGCCTGCATGGGGGCAGTGGTCTTGGCGGCTCCCTCGGCGATAGTGGCCTCCACATGGCTTGCTGACGTCGCCGTGGGTGGACCTGCGGCAGTCCAGAGTGTGCTGGTTGTGCTGGGTTGGGGTGGCTGCGAATCAAGCTGGGCTTCACTGGCTTCCTGCTGACATCCCCGTTGTTTCGGGAAGCGTCTGATAGTCACCCAGAGCGCGTGCTGCGCCAGGCTGCAGAGTTGCCTCTGTGGGGCGAGGCACCATATTCGTTGCAGGCGGCCGAAAATGCGGGCACGCTTCGACTGACCGCCAGCCTCATCCTGTACTTGTTGGCCGTCTCGTTGAGATTCAAGCTTTCTCAGCGACGCGCTTTCCAGCATGGCACGCGCGGCGGACGTACCTTTGTGGGGCGCGCGTCCTTGGTTGGTCCGACCAGTCGCGCGCGTATGCGCGGCGACTTTCTGGGGGAGGTAGAGAGGAGGGGGTCCTCACCTGCGTGCATTGCGAACCCGCCGTAACGACCGCCGCGCGCTTTGCCTGCAGGGCTGGTGGTCTGGCGGGCCTAGGCAGGGTACGATCGGGTTGTGGCTCTACCCCCATACTTCTCTTCTGACTTCCCGATGTGCGCCACCTGTAGGCCAGAAGGAGGGCCCAGGTGGCGCGTCCGCCAAAGTTCGCCTCCTCCGCTATTGCCCCTCATAGTGCGCCGCTGCCTTGCCCTTCCTTACCCTCTCGCCCTCCCCGCCCGCCCAGGTACGAATCTCCTTTCCTACCGAAAAATACCCGTTTTCAACAGGAAGCGCTGTCGGTGTCGCCGCGGACGGTTTCTTTTCAGACGGTTCTTTTCAGACGCAAGGCTCGCCTGCCGAGTAGGGGCCGCTGTCGGTTTTGGACAACGTTTGTTGTTCGGCATCGTGCCCCTTTTTTACGCACCCATTTCGAGCGTTCAAAGCGCGACCTCTTGCCAGGAGGAGGAGGAGGAGGAGGAGGAGGAGGAGGAGGATGAGGAGGAGGAGGAGGAGGAGGAGGAGGAGGAGGAGGAGGATCACCAGGCCGTCCTGCGGCCTCGGAGCGCTCTCGACGCTGCAGCATGTGCCAACGGGCGGCGGCGGCCGTGGCGCGCGGCGCAGGCCGCGCGCGCAGCTGGGGCCGCGCGGGCGGCACGCGGCGCGCGGCCACTATAGGCGACCGCAGCGGATGCGGTGACGCCAGGGTGCGGTTTGCGGTCGGCGCCGCTGGGGCCGAAGGGGTCACCACGCTGCGCCAAAGGTTTGGTCAGCCCTCGCCAGGGCGCGGCAGAGATCTCAATCGAGGTTCTCGCTCACCCCCCCGGGGGCGGGTTGCAAACCACACCCTTCACAAACCACACCCTACGGCGTCGCCGAGGCATGGGAGCGCGGGGGCGGCAGAGGCCGAATGGGCTGCCCGGGAGACAGGAGGGGCGATCGCGACTGGGCGGTTCCTGGACGGGCTTTGTGTTGTTGAATCAGGCTTGGGCGAGTTGAGACAACAGTAGTTGGCCTTCGTGGGTCTTCCTTGTCGCCACGGCCAGACGCAGCTCGGAAAACTGCGTTTGGACCCCGTGTGAGGCCTGGGGATCGATTTTGAGCTGACGTCGTCTCAGCTCGCCCTGCTCGGATTGAAGAGAGCGTCTTCGTCCTCGTGTGCGCGGTGCGGCTGTTCCGAGGTGGGGATTGATCCATCTCCTCCTCCTCCTCCTCCTCCTCACCATTGCCTTGAGGATTTTCGTGGACCTCGGCAAGCGGTGGACATGGATAGGTTCGGGCCCCCTGGGGGCCAGGTATGTCCATACCCACCACACGGCCGACGTCCCCGAAGATGATCTCCCAGGTGGTGGTTGTGGGTAGATTTCCGCCTCGCATCCGTGTTGAGCTAGAGAGCGTCTTCGTTCTCGGGTGTGTGTGATCTCCGGCCCTCCTCCCTTGGCTCCTGGCCGGACGACAAGATGGTGTGTCTTCGTCGTAGCACAGGCAGTGACTTCAAGATCGCGACGTGCACAGGTTGCCATGCCCGCTACGCCGCAAATGCGCGCCAAGAAGCAGCGGGTAAGGGGAACGGGGAGTGTTATAACAAACGATGTGTAAATATTTGTATTTATTGCGGTGAATCGTAGCGTGCTGGTATCGATATTGAGCCGATCTTCTCTCACGTGCTGCTTTATTCGAATTGGGTATGCAGTTGACGTTCGGTGTTGCAGCTCAGTCTTCGTCACCCTTGATGTCTGCACGGGATCAAGTGTACTTGGAGGCGCCATCATCAGTTTCAGCCGAATGTTGTTCATGAACACCATCCCCGAAGCGAGTCCCATCTTAGGAGATCCGCAGTCTCGCGAGCTGGGTGTGCCATTCTGAACAATGAGGGGGGAGAGATCAGTCCCCCTGCAGTGTCCGCTTCGATTCGACCGAGCCGATTCGATATCGAATCTGGCCAGCCCGATCCTATTCGACTCCGCTTTTCTGGCGATCCGATGTGGCCAGATTCTCGCACGGCGTCGTTGTGCGTTCTGGTGCGGCCGATTTGATTCGACTCCGACTCCGTACCGACGTGGCCCGATCCGGCGCACGTTCCAATCCGATCCGATCTACCAGTTCGATACTGACCGATCCCGCCCTGCCGGAGGAGATTGCGCGCCACACGCCCGACCTGGCCAAGCTCATCGTGAACGCCGGTGGCGTGGCCGCCATCGTTGACTACATCACCGAGGCCCGAAACGTTTGCCTCCAGCCCCGAAGAGTGGAGTCGACCAGAAGCGTTGGTCACGGTGGCGGCGACCGAAGCAGGTCGTCGTGGCCATTCTCAGGAGATGGCTCGCCCCCAACCCCTGAGTTTCCTCCAAGAAGGACTGGCCGTTCAGCAAAGAAAGGCAACTCGGGAGTACACTCCCAGGGGGCTTTTCGGACGCACCCCCATCAAGGATGGACGCCCCCCCCCCCTCATCGTACATCCCCGTTGGGCCCCAAGTTTGTGTCCAGTCGAAAACCAACAGGGTCGCGGATTGGGGTCGCCATTTTCCCCCATGCCCCCTTCAGCGACTGGATGTAGGTGGAGATGGCGTCGGCTGCCACGGTTGCAGTCGACAGCGTTCAATTTGACGGCGCCGACCCGACCCGACCTTCGCTGCCTTCGGAAGCCCGCACGGCGCACCTCTCGACCTCGGGGAGCTTCCGAGCCTGCGCCACGTGTGCCTCGGTCTCCTCGTGTGCTTCTCCTTGGCTCGAGCTCGTGCCGTCTGCGTGTGCCTCCGCCCACCCCCACGGCACGAGGAGCCCAGCATGGAGGCGACCGCGAGTCCCCTCGCACTGGTCTTGCGCCAAGGGCCGCCGGGGGCAGCTTCGTACCCGCCAGGAGGTCATTCCGAGCCGCTCGCCCCCGCTCTGTCTGCGTCCCAGCGGTACCTCATGGGGGCACTGAGGCACGCCTCCACGGATGCGCGTGCACACAGCAGCACCAACCAGGAAACACAGCTGCCACTTCGGCGGGCACCCGGAGGCGCAGCGCGGCAGTACAGCCGAATGTTTTGATTTGCCTTCCTTGCTTATGTGTGTAGGCGCACTTTGCCGTGGCCGTGTGGCCAGCTCCGCCTGCCCAGACAACATGCCAGCCGGAACGCAAGAGGCGGCATGGGGGGTGTATGAGACGGCGAGGAGGAGGAGCTGGAGTGCATGGCAAGTATCGAGAAGGCGGGAGAAGAAGATATGCGGATCAGGAGGCAGAGCATGTGTGCAAGTAGGGGGTGCAAAGAAAGGATGCAGCGGAAGAACACGGCTGTTCAGCATCATCATCATCACCACCATCATCACCATCATCGTCATCAGCAGCATCATCATTAGTAGCATCGTCATCATCACCATCATCATCATCATCATCATCATCATCATCATCATCATCATCATCACTATCAGCATTATCGTCATCATCGTCATCTCCACCATCACCGTCATGATCACCACCACCACTGCAATCACCATCACCATCAGCATCATCATCACCATCAATATCACCATCATCATCACCATCATCATCATCATCATTATCATCATCCTCATCATTATCATCATCATTATCATCAGCATCATTATCATCATCATTATCATCATCACCATCATACTTACCATCACCATCAGCATCATCACCACCATCATCATTATCATCATCATCCTCCTCATCATCACCATCATCACCATTACCGTCATCGTCATCGTTATTGCCGTCGTCATCGTCATCATAGTCATCATTGTTACCATCATCGTCACCATCATCAGCATCATTATCACCACCGTAATCATCACCACCACCATCATCCGTAACCATTTTGGCTCATGTTATTTTGGCTCAAGGCCAAGGTGGCGAAACATCTACTGCTTAAGCAGGGTAGGCTTTCTTCCAGCAGGGTTCGACAGAAGCGTTCCTGTCAGTCTTTCTCATTCAAGTCCTGGTCCGCCCCCGGCAGTCCATCTTCAAGTCCTGGCCCGCCCCAGGCACTTTGCCTTCACTCTCAAGTCCTGGTGCGCCCCAGGCACAGTCGCTTCCAAGTCCTGGTTCGCCCCAGGCAGCTCTCGCCAGCGTTCGTTCACGAGGCCCACTAGTCCTGCTACCCTACGTCCTCGCGGCGCTCGGGTCTGGCTGGTTCAACAGCGCCATCCTAGACGATCAAAGGTGACCAGTCCAGCAGTCGCAGTGCAGTTTTCTAGCTCGTGCTCGAACTCCCCCTCGCGAGGGTCACGCAGCCGTGGGCAAAGTGAAGGCGTCTCTCGCCGCAGCACGCTTCGCCAAACCCGCCCCCAAGAACGACGAGAACCAATCCGTGAACGTGAAGCCCCTGCAGGTGCCGCAGAAAGACGTGCCCCGTTCAAGGACGGGATCCATGGGCTGGACTCGGCAGATCGAGGCCACGGCGAGGTGGAGAATGTGCAGCAGAGGTCGTTGCGTCTGGCAGGACTGGCTCAAGTACTCGAGGCACGGCTCGTTCCACAGGTGCTGCACAAACTCTGGTCCCGGCAGCGGCCGCATCCACTCGCTTCCACCAGTTCGCTATGAGCAGCAAACTTTTGATTCTCTCGGCGATGCGGCGCGCGCTCTACTGGCTCATGATTCGGAGATGGCGCCGACACTCTGCCCAAGGTACTGGAAGTCAGCCGCGCGCCCATGATCGCGCAGATGCCCCCCACTTTCCCTCGTCCGCCACGGCTTCGGGGTACAGCGCCACCTGGACCTCGATAGCCACCGCCGCGTCTACCACGGCCACCTGACGGAGCATTTCCCGGGGATCTCGCCGCGGCCTTTGACGGCATTTTCAGCAACCAGCTCGCGCTCGCCACCCAGCAGTTCAGCAACCTCTTCGACCGCGCCTGGTCCAACGTCTTGGCCGACCTCCGCTCCACCATCGAGGCGTACTATGCGCCGCGGCAGGCCCGACGTGAGAGCGCTGAGCGTGAGCTCAGCAGTATCCGTCGCTGACAGGAGGCGCAAGCAGAAGGGCAAGCCGCGCTGCGACAATCTGTTCAACGGCTCGGAATTGCCACCTCTCTCGCTGCAGCTCAACTTCCTGCCATCGACCTCGCCAACCTTGCCAACTACGACCGCGAGCCCAGTCCGGCCCTCTTCAGCATCGGTGCGCCCAGCGACATTCTGCCTTCAGAAGTCCGACGTGCTACAGCTCAGGGGACGCAGGATGCCTAGCTCCAACCCGATCATGTCAACACACTTGAAGACGTTCCAGCTCGTCGATTTCACCCTCAGGTACAAGCGGGTCTGAGGTTGCACTGCTTCGGGCCCTCGCTCTCAGCCGTGGCCGAGTGGCGACGGGTCAGCGCCCGGACTGTCCGCGGCGCCGAGGCCCCGCTCTTCGTCTCCACGGGCAAACCGCTAAAGCAGGTAAGACGGGGGCCCCAGACGAGGCGGCGCGCCATCATCTTGGGTGGAGTCTACGCTGGCGTGGAGCTCAGGACGCTTCGCCACTCGGGTAGCGCGCAGCAGGGGGCGATGCCAGTCGGTGGAGGTTCAGTCGCAGGGGCTCCTCGCGCAGTCCGAGCTTAACTGGGGCCCAGCTGCGTTCGCGCAGATGGGCGCCGACGAGGACCTCGTCAAGCACGTGCACTTCATCATGGCGTTCACGTGGCCCCGTGGGAGGCCGCCGATGAAACCACGCCACCGCGGGGCGTTTCCTGGAACGCAAGAGGATTGCTCTGTCGCAATCCCCGCCGCTGCCGCCTCGAGTTCCGCCTCATCGTTAACGCGTTCCGCTCTCGAGCCGTCGTCCTGGCCCAGGAGTGCCGCGGCTCGCCTGCGGAGCTGGGGGGCGTGCTCGCCCGGAACCCGTGCTCTTCCTCTTACTTCGCCGAATTATGGGTCTGTTTTGCGAGAGGCGCGGGCGGCTTTGCCGCGCTCGTCCCCGGGCTCGCACGCGCTGAGCACGAGCCGTTGCAGCAGTGGCTTGCCGCTGGCCGCCTGCCTACCTGCAGCCCGCCATGGCCGGCGACGTCGCGGTTCCTGGCAAGGCCGTGCTCGCCCGCGTCCTGAATCTGACTCGGAGACGGAAGCCCGTGCCCTCGACGTCCGCAACTACGACCTCGGTGCCCCAGAAGAGCGCGGTGCAGAGGGAGTGGCAGCGCCGTGTGCAGTGGGCCGTGGCGACCCCAGCCCAGCGCACCTTCGTGGCCGTGGGCGACTTCAACTTCGCCGAAAACCCCTCGCAGTCCGACCTCATCCCACGGCCTGGAGTCCGCAGGCAGACGCAGGAACGCCTCTTCCAGCAGAACCAGGGCGCCAGCTCACGCGCAACGACGACATCGAGGTCGCCGCCGACATCCCGACGCACTTCTCGCACCGTCACCAGGTCTTCACCGCCGCCGGCAGATCTTTCGCCCCCCCGCCGCCCACCTTCGCCCCGTGCCTGAACTGCCAGCTCAGCGTCGCCCAGGAAGCGGCATCTCTCGCGGATGTGTGCCTCGGCGACCACGTTGTCGCCGAGTTCGCCGTCGACGGCGAGGAGGCCCCCGCAAGCGCCTCGTCCCCGGCCTCGCCTTCCGCTCGGAGCAGCGCAGAAACCTCCGCAATAATATGCTCGCGGAGGCTGAGCTCGACGCCGTGGCCAGCTGGCGCCGCCGTGGCGCCGCGAAGGAGATCTGGCCACGGCGGCCGAGCTCGCCCGCAACGAGCTGCAGCGTCTCGCGCTGGGCACGGGCGACTCAATTTGCTCGAGAGTAGGCGCTTCGCTCTCCGTGCGCTTGCCCGCGCCGTGTGGTGCTCTCATCGCCGCGCTGCGCGCTTGCTGGCTGCCATCGCCGAGCTTGGCCGCGCGCTGCGCGCTTGGGCGCCTCGGGGCCTTCCCCGCAGTTGCGTTCCCCGGCGGAGTTTCAGGGTGAGGCCAGTCGCAGCAGCCAGGCGTGGTTCGAGCGCGCCATCCCTCAGTGAGCTGCACGTGCAGCCCGCGGTTCTGGCCAGCCCTTGGTGGGGGCGCATCGTCGTGCCCAGCGGGCGCTGCAGAGGCGCGCGGCGCTCTGTCGCCCCCCTCAAATGCTTTATCTTGCATGGCATCGCAGGTTCTTAGATTGCCCAGAATCCGAGCGCGGCGGAGGGCGGCTCTCTCTTTGCGCCGGTAGCGCTCGCAACGGAAGACACTTCTGTGGCCCTTCGCTGCCGCTGAGCGCCCTCCTTCCTCGACTCCACCTCCCCGTCGCTTCCCCGTGGCCGACTTCCCCGCCCCCTTTGACGCCCTGCGCGAGGCATTCAAACGTGGGGGGAATTCCGCCCCAGGACCCGACCGTCTCTCGCGCCGAGCCTGGCTGGCGGTGCCCGAGACCATCGACAGTATCTATCTAATTGTTCTTAGGCTTTTGCGTGCTGTCCCAGTGCCACCTATGCTTAATAAGTATATGTTTGCTTTCCGTTTCGAAGGGTGACAAGATCGGCGATGCTGTCGACTGCCTGCGAGACGCGTCAGAGGGGCGCCCGCTGTCGCTGAAAAGCTGCGACGCGGGGGCTCACGCTATAGCGGCTAATTTCCCCCCTCGCAAAATGTGGCGACTGAGCGAGTGCGCGAGACCCAGCGGGGCTCTATGCGCGGAATGATTCTCTTTCATACCATAGCGAAGCTCTACGCCCGCGCGAGGGCTGCGGGCTTAAGTGAAGACGCATACTGTAGGATGCCTCTCTTCCTAGTTTTCGATATCGAAGCTGCCTTCCACAGCATGATTCGCATGTGGCTGTTCGCGCTTATTGAGCGGATGAGGCTACCGCTAGGGCGCCTCGCCGCAATCAAGAGCCGCCGCGCCTTTGCTTTCGCCTGCGCGAGCATTGGCGAGGATATTATCCCGTTGCTCCTCATCAGCTCAGGGGCCATGCAAGGCTGGCCCCCCAGCGGCAGCCCGTGGGCTTTCGGCGTGGATCCCATCGCCCGCGCTCTAGAGCGCCCGCTCCCGACAGACCCGCGCGAAGCTTCCGCAGGTGGCTGTGCCGACGACAGGCGCGTCCCTGCCCATCCTCTGCCTCTGCCTCGAGCCTCGCCTCTTTCCATCTTCGCCCTCGCAAGTGCGTGCTCGTTCCGCTTTGGGTGCGGTGCGCATGACGTGTTAGTGCAAACATCCGCTCCGTCCTGAGCCAGACGCTCCCATGGTGACAGAGTCTGACCGTGGCGGGAGAGACGAAGCATCTATGAGTGCACGTTGGCCCAGCGGCCGCGAGCGCCCCCCAGCGTGGGCCCTGCTCGCAGAAATGGCGGGGGGGGAATCTTGGAGACCTCTGCCTCTGACGCCCCGCCCCCCCGACCCCGCCCTCCGTCTGCGCGGATTCGCGACCCCCCCCCGGCCTGGGCTACACCGCCTAGTCTTGTCCGCCGCCGAAGCTGCCCCTGCGCAGGGAGCCTCGGTGCATTCGCGAGCTGCTCAAATTGCCTCCTTATTCGCTCGCGGGCCGCGACCTCTGGCCCCTCCGAGGCTGGGCGCCCAGCTCTACCCCGACCGCCATGACAGTGCGCGCGGCGGCGACAGGCTGGCGCGCGGCGCGGGACACTTTCCCCTGGCGTGTGTCATGGTGCGCGGAGCTCGACGAGTGCTCGTGGCGCCGCAGCGCGCGCGCGCCATGCGCAGGACCTTTTGGCCCCCCGCCTTGCTGGCGCGACCCGCGGGCCATCGTTCAGTTCCTCCGCCACCGCGCCCGTGCTCCCGCGCCCCCGAAGGTCGCCGCTGCCCCGCGGCGGGCCGTTGCGGCAGATGCCCTGCGCGCAGCCGAGCTGGCCGCTGAGCTCCCGAAGAAGCCGCGGCTCCAGTGGGTGTGTGCTCTTTCTCTGGCCGCGAATTTTGCCCAGACTGGGTGCGCTTTGCGCTGCAGAAGCGAGTGCGTTCCTGGCGTCCTGGGCTCCGCACTTACACAATATTAACATACTTTCCCACTTCCTCTGATGGCGTCGCGAAGATGGCCGACCCCCCCCCGCGTATTATTTTTTACACAGGATTCCCGGGAAACGGGTTTTCGCTTGCGTTTTTTTTCAAAATGCTGCTCTCGCTGAGGCGCCGGCCTCATTTCTGCTCCCGAATCGTTCCGAATCGTGCTCCCGCTGCAGCGTGGGCCTCATTTTCGGATCGGTGTTTGGCCTCCGTCGTTCAGGATGGCGTTCTCGCCCCAGCGCGGGCCTCTTTCTCGCGCGCCCATCCGCCCGCCACCACCGCGCCGCACCACCACCACCACCACCACCACCACCACCACCACCACCACCACCACCACCACCACCACCACCACCACCACCACCACCACCACCACCACCACCACCACCACCACCACCACCACCATCACAACCACCACCACCACCAACCACCACCACCACCACACCACCACCACCACCCACCACCACCACCACCACCACCACCACCACCACCACCACCAGCACCACCGCCACCACAACCACGCACACACGCACGCACGCACGCACGCGCACCACCACCATCACAACCACCACCAGCACCACCACCACCACCACCACCACCACCACCACCACACAACCACGCACACACGCACGCACGCACGCACGCGCACCACCACCCACTACGCACGCGCGCGCGGAGCCACAGGTCCGCTACGACACGCGTCCGCGGATAGAGAAAATCAGCGCCATGGTAAGGGATGGGAGGGAGGGGTAGGACGTCAGATATGACGCGAGCGCACCTAGCTTGAAGTCCACCCCTCGCCCCCCGCTGGCGGGCTTTGGAGGGGGCCCTGGCGAAGACTCGCCCCGCCTCGTTCTGGTCCGTAATGAAGAAGCTCGCGGGGGGTGGATCACCGCCCGCAGGGGGTACATTCTTGGCCAGAGGGGGTGCGCCTTTGGATGCGAGGGCGGCCCTGATGTGATCGCCCGCTGCCTCTCCTGTCCCCGCCTGCCCCACCTCGCCGCCTTTTCTCGCTCTGCCCCCCCCCGCCTCCGTGATCGTCCGACTCGGCCTTGGAGAGGAGAACGATTATTCCGAGGAAGCCTCCAAGGGGCGTGCGCTCTGGTTGCTGGCCCTCGCATTCAACGTTTACCAAAAGCTTCGTATGTGCGCGCCTGGAGCACCCATCTCATATCCCGGGCGCATCGAAGTGCTTTCAGCAATTGCAGGATGTACCTTGGTCGTCTGGAGCGGGTGCGGAGTTGCAGAAGCCGAATTCATCGATTACCTGAGCGTCGATATGTTTCTGTTGGGTTTCTGTATTCCTTGTCTGGCCTGGCTGTGCATTCCCAGGGTCAAGTCCGGGCCTGGGTGTGCATTCGCAGGGGCGGTGAAGTGAGTGCGGTGCTGCTTGCTTTATGCCGCGTCTGGCCTGGATGTGCATGCCCAGGGGTGCGTCCTGTTTGGCCTGGAGGTGCATTCCCAGGTGCAGGCGACGGGTGCTGCAACTGCTGGTGGCATCTTACCCCTCGTCTGGCCTGGATGTGCATTCCCAGGGGTTCAGAAAACTAAGTCCCGAGGAAGCCCCATCTTGGGGAACGCCTCAGGCTCGCGTCGCCGCGTGGAGCTGGATGGCGTGAGGAAGCCCCGTGCGGGGAACACCTTAGGCGTACCGTCGCCGCGTCTTTGCTGTGATGTGGTGTTGGTGCTGCGTGCCTTGAGGTGGCAGCGTCTGGCCTGGAGGTGCATTCCCACGGGCGCTCCTCTTTCTTGCACGTATGCCTCGTCTGGCCTGGACGTGCATTCCCAGGGGCGAGCGTGAGGCAATTCGTCCACTGTGTCGATGTGTTTCTGTTGCGTGTTCCTCGGCGTGCTAGCGTGCGTCGGGGACTTCGTTTTCCTCGTCTGGCCTGGATGTGCACTCCCAGGGGCGAGGTTGCATCAATTCGTCGACGGCTGTGGTCGATGAGTTTCTGCTGCGCGTTCCTCGGCGTGCTGTCGCACGTCGGGGCTCCGTGCTCCAGGTGCTGCCGTGTCCAGGTTTTCCCCGTCTGGCCTGGATGTGCATTCCCAGGGGCAGGGCACGCACACGCCGGGGAGCCTCCTCAGCCGCGTCCTCTGAGGACGCCTAGGGACCCACGGGACTCCCGCCGTCGGGACCCTCGGGTGTCCCGTGCTCGCCCGCCGCCTGTCTGTGCATGCAGACGGACGTGCTGCGCCTCGTCCTTCGTCTCTCTCTCTCTCTCAGCAGTTGCACGCTCTCTCTCTCTCTCTCTCTCTTTTATCTCTCCCTCTCTCTCGAGGTGTAAGGCAAGGCCGTGGCGCCTCGAGCTACGTGCAGTCATCAGCATCATCATTATCATCACCATCTTCACCATCACCACAATCATATTAATAATTATCATCATCATCATCAGCATCATCAGCATCATCACCATCATCATCACCGTCACCAGCGTCATCGCCACCACCATCATCACCATCGTCATGAACAGCATCATCATCATCAGCAGCAGCATCATTCGTATTCTGTTACGCTGGGGCGCATGCTCCAGCGTTTCGGGGAAGGCTTCGCAGCAACGCAGCAAACACGTGGCATGACCGTGCCTTCGCGCACTGTCGGCATGACCATTCGGGCGTTTTTTTTCCTGGTCTCCCTTGGGCCCCAGCTTTTCTTGCCCTTGCCTGCGAGAGCCTGCGGGTTTGTGGAGCTTGAGGCCGTTCGCGCTGCACTTGAAACACTTCATGTTCTGAGGTGTCTCCCCCTGCCCCCCTCCTGTGGCCGCTCTCTTGCTATTCCCCCTGCACAGGTGCACGATCAGCCAGACTTCGGCCCGTTTTAGCCCGAAGACGTTGTAACTTGCATCGATGCGACAAGACAGCGAGAACCTGCGAGTTCTGCCCTGCCCGTCCGTGTACCCCCCCATGCCCAATTCGGAGGCCCGTCTCTGGCAGCTGTAGGTCGCAGGTCGGGCATGGCCTCGCCATGTTCGGGTCTGACAACCGTAGGTGCTTCATATGTTGCCGCAGTGATGGTCGTCATGGCAAGTGTGGAGGACATCGGACATGTTTTTTTGCCGTTGTTATGTTTGTTTTTGCTGTGTGTGCGCGTCTGTGTGTGCGTGTGTGTGTGTTTGATAATACCGTGGGGCCTGGTCCTGCCCACGGCCGAGACGGCTCGACCAGTGGTCGGGGCGGCCTTAGGGAGCGACCCGAGGGCAGCTCTTTTGCATGTTTCGCAGGGACGTGCTTACCCGAATGCGTGTGGTTAATGAGTGGGGAAGCTTGTCCGCAGCTTCCGGCTCAACACCCTGGCTGGAACCATTTTGACAATTACCCGCGCATGGATGGTCTGCCGACTGTTCGTTACTTTATGTTCTGGGCTGGCCGTCATCTCTTGCGAGGCGGTTCAGCATATGCGTACGGCCTATCGGGGGCATTCGGTGATATCGCTACCCCGGCTCTCGATAAGTCGCAAGGATATCTCCGTTTCGGGAGTGTCAGCAGGGGGTGACTTCACCGTTCAGTTCCAAGTGGCTTACAGCTCACTGCTGCGCGGGAGTGCGATCATCGCTGGCCAGCCGTATCATTGCGCTTTGACCTTCTTTCGGGGGGAGGGAGGTTCGAAGCCCCCGTACGACCACTGTAAATCCAAGCCTGGAATAGTCAATGTGTCCCAGCTGGTCGAGTATGCGAAGGACGAGGCTGCCGCAGGGAGTATTGACGACCTCTCAAACTTGAAGTCGGCACGTGTCTACCTCTTTGAAGGAACCGAAGACAGTCTCTACAGGGGTAACGCTAAACTTGTGAAGGAGTTCTTTTCGCACTTCCTGGATCCAGTCGCGCAGATGAAGGTTGAGAACTCTGTCCCGTGCCCACACGCATGGCCCACTCTGGACAAAATGGGATATGGTCTGCATGCTTGTGGGTACGATAGCGCTGGGGAGGCTCTATCACACATCTATGGGCAATTGCACTCTCCTGCAACGCCCAGTTCGACTTCATTCCGGGCGTATGACCAGGCACCGTTTCAGGACGGTAGCTTGAGCATGGTGGGTTACGTGTATATCCCCAGCGCTTGTGAGCAGGGTAGAACGTGCCGGCTACATTTAAACTTTCATGGATGTGGCGCATGGAAGCCGGAAGAGATTGAGGACATCGGCTTGAACCGATGGGCAGAGTCCAACGACATCGTGGTCCTCTATCCCTTGCGTAGTCAGTGTTGGGATGCGTATGGGAATACTGGGCCAGACTACGCGTTGAGAGAGGGTCGTCACATGGCTACGGTGAGGAAACTAATCAGCACTGTTTCAGGACTCTGATGTCTTACGGGCAGGCACTGGCCGGCGTGGCGGAGAAGCCATGTGCGGGCCGCGCTCTCAGGATGTGCATTCTTTGATGTCATGCGAGTTCGGCTCATGTGGTGCCGGCAGTTTCGTGAAACCGAATTTCCTCCTGAATCACGCGCAGCTTACGAACACTTAGAGCCAGGTGCGACATGTAGGTCACAGCGTGGCTTTCCTTAGGAGGAGCTGGCGAAGTTTTCAATGCCCTTGCCTCGTTCCCCCCCCTTCCCCTGGCCTCCCCCCCTCTTCTCCCTCCCTCCCACCTCCCGCGGCCGCCCTCCACTGCGGCGGGCACCTCAAGGCACCGACGCCGTCGGCTGCCTCGGCGGGCGCCAGTGGTGCCCCGCTTTTTGCCGCCGTCTTGCGGGACGCGCGCTCGTCTTGGAGCGCGGGGAAGAAAGGCGCCGCGACGCCCAGCAGGCAGCCGCGCCTGCCTCCGCGCGTTCGCTGGGGCGCCGCGGGCCCTCCACTGTGCTGCGGCGCCGTCGCGTCTCCCGCCCTGACGACGCCGCCGCCGCAGCTCCGGCACTCACGCCGGCTGGCACGCGCACCCGAGCCGGCGGGCAGCCTCAGCTCGTGCGACAGCGCGAGCCGCTCCTGCACTCGGCGAGCCGCCCTGGTGGCGCGGGGCGGGCCAGCACCGGCAGCGCTCCGTTTCTCCCATCACGCAGACGGGGCTCCGAGCCGTACACCACCGCCACCTCCCTCCCTCCCCCCCTCCCTCTCCCGGGCGAGAGGCGAGGCAGAGGAGGCTGGCCGAGGGGAGGGGGGATGAGGGCGGTGGTGGTGCATCTCTCCCTGGGGCCCGCGCGTCCGCACCACGCCCCGCGTCTCCCGCCGCCCCGCGCCGCCCCGCGCCGCCCCGCACCGCCACCACCTGGGCACCGCGTCGGGTACCCCGTCGCACTCCTGGGAGAGCCGGCGGCGCGATTTCGGCGTGCGGGCGCGATGGGACGGCACCCACTCGGCGAGGGAGAGAAACGCACAGACACAATGAATCGTCGACTCTCAGGAAAGATAATGGGAGAATCTGGGAATGGGGCGGGAAGACAAAAGCCCAGAAGATATGGGAAAATATATGGGGAATCATCTTATTTGTGTGTATTTATCTGTGTGTCCCGGGGCCCCTTCACCCACGTTCGAGGAGGCGGGGCGGGAGGGAATGGGCGGGGCGAGGCGCAGCCCACTGGCAGCACTTGCACGAATTTGCCTCCCCGCCGGCACCGCCGCTGCGCTCCCCTGCTGCACGGGGAAGCATCGCTTCAAGAGCAGTGAGGGGGGGGGGGGCACCGCGGAGCATGGCTTCTGAGGGCCCCCTCGGCACCGCTCCTGCGTGACCCTGCCAGCACCACCCCAACAACCGACACCTTTTCTATGAAGACCTCTCCACCAGCATCGCACTCAATCACGCACTCCCCGACTAGAACCACCACTCCCCGACTAGATCGGAGGCGACGATAGGGGTGAATAGGCCAGAGGCGTGCGTTCCACGTATTCGCCCGGAAGCCTCGCCGAAGACTCGGACCATCGGCGCTCTTGGATGCACGTATTGCTCCCCCCGAGGTTAGTCTCAGACGAGCATGAAGTATTGATATTGATAGGTTTCAAGATTTCCAGGTTTTCCTGTTCTTCCGCGCGGGCTCCAAGGACGAATGGTCGAGCGCATTCCGTCGCGCAGGTTCTTTGCGTGACGTGCGCGGTGCATTTTTCGCGCATCGGAGCGCCCTCGGAGATTCCAAGTTGCATGCTGTGTTGCTCTTGGGGAGTCCGCGAGTCGCAGCTGCCGTGGTGCTGTTTTTGAGGCAAACCCTTCGAGTGCTGTTCGCGGCCGCAACGCGCGGCGCGCGCTGCGCCCAATCGCGCGCAGCGCGGTGCGTGAATCAGCTGGCCGCGCCCGTCGGACCGCCCGGAAATTATCTCTGGATTGTAGAATGTGTCGGAAAACGCTTCCGTTTTTTGACGCAAGCGGTTCCGGAATTTTTCAAACAGGAGCCCGAAAATTTGCAAAAAACAGTTTTGAGGGGTGGAATGCGCCCGCCGTGCAGGAGATCTGAAGAATTCTGAAATCTGGAATTTTTCAGAATGGATTCCGGAATCTTTCAGATTCGATCCCGGAATTTGTCAACATTGATTTTGGTATTTTTTCCAAAACGTAGGCCGGACATTTTCAAACACGTTCCCGGATTTTTTTCAAATCTAACCCCGGTGAATTTTCCAGAGTCGCGCGTGATTTGCCTTTCCAGGTCTTTGGAAATCAGCCGAGGCGCGCGGTGCGCGGCGGCGGGCGATGGGGCGGTGCGCCACCGTCCCCCCGTGCTCGGCAACGGGAAGTGGGATCAGCAAGTGCCAAATTCCCCCCCCCCCCCCCCTACGGGCGACCACTCGATTGCGAATGGGTGACCGACCAGTGGCGCCATCCAGAGTAGACAACACTCGACTCAAAGTGTACCCCGCGCGAAGGCTGCTAGAAATCCCGGAATCCCCGGAACGTATCGATAGCACGTTGTGTCAATAGATTGTTCTCGTCCATATTCGCTCCCATCGTCGCCCCCGGCGAAAGCGCCCGAGCTTCCACCACGGCAACTCTTCGGGCCCCGCTCCCCACTGGCGCTGCTCGCAGTCGCCTGGCGCGTTCCTCGCCCGCCCCCGCCCCCTCGGCCGCCCCCCCCCGGCCGTACGCGCCTCGGGCGACCCAGTCTGACGAGGATCTGCCGTGCGCTGTTCTGGGCATGACCTCGCCGTTTCTCGCAGGCCTGCGCGTGGACATCACTAGCAAGATCGAGAGAATGTTACCATGCACTGGCCTCAGCGTCGGTGGTTAGATTGACGGTCGACCCGCATAGTAAGGATGACCGACTTCCCAAGGGATTCTTGTATCCTTGCCTCTTCGGTCATTTTCGGTCCATCCCCAGCCACTTTCGATGGGCAGCCCCGCTCGAAGAGCCTCGGCCCGATATTCAAAAGCCCTTGCATCCTTTCTGCGCGTCCTTACTATATGGTTTGAAGAATGCTGCCACCGGCCTCAGCGTTGGTGGCTAGATTTAGGTCTCTTCGGCGACTGGACCAACTGCGCCGCAAGATCGGGAGGCACTTTTTCTCAGCGCAGGCGGATTCCGGTTTGAGCAGTGGTGCCAATTTGTCAAGGGCGCTTGCGGCGAGGCAACGTGTCTGCAGTTGTAGTGAACCTTAAAGCGAAAGTGCGGCCACGCTTGTGGACCTTGCGCTGGTTCCCTCGGCTGTTGAGGAAACCAAAGGGGAACACTGGGGGGTGGCACTCTGGGGCCTTCTCGGGTCTATCTTGGGGCTCTTTTCTCAGCATCTGGGCTGGGGGCCTTACTGGGCCGCCTCAGGGCCCGCTTGTGGACCTTCTCGTTCATCTTGGGGAGATATTCGGGGATTCTTGGGCCGTCGTGGTTGGACGCGCTACAGCGTAAAAAACGAGAATCCGAACATCACTGGGATGCAGCAGTGCGTGAGGAGCATCACTGTTTTTCCCAACCCTCCTGTGTTGGGTTCTCGTTTTGAAGAGCGCACTGCTTGCGCGACCTCCTCCCGCCTCCCTTCTCCTCCCCGCCTTCCTCCTCCTGCCGTCTGTGGCCTGCTTTATTCCTAACCCTCCCGTTTTGGATGCAACACTGCGGTCGCGACTCCTTATCCTGCCTCTCCCTCCGCCAGCTTCCTCCTGCGCTGCTCCCTGGGTGATTGCGAACTGCGCAACTGGCGCCACTTTTCGTGGGCTTTGGGAGGCACGGCGGAGTTGCGGAGTACGCGGACCCCACCGAGACCTCGCAGCCTTCTGGGTGGCAGCGGACTGCGCAACTGGCGCCTTGGGGGGCACGGCGGCATAGCGGAGCACGCGGACCCCGCTGAGATTTCACATCTCCTCGGGTGGTTGCGAACTGTGCAATTGGCGCCACTTCGTGGGCGCCTGTGAGGCACGGCGGAGTCGTGGAGTACGCGGACCCAGCCGATGGTTCTCAGCTCCCTGGGTGGCTGCGAACTGCGCAACCTTCGCTACTGTCGTGGGCTCTTGGGAGGCACGGCGGAACAGCGGAGTACATGCACCCAGACGGGATCTTCTTGCTCCCTGGGTGGCTGCGAACTGCGCAACTGACGCCACTTTCGTGGGCTCCTGGGGTGCACGGCGGAGTCGGGGAGTACGCGCATCCAGACGGGACCTCGCAGCTCCCTGGTATGCTGCGAACTGCGCAGTTATCGCCACTTTCGTGGGCTCCTGGGAGGTCCAGCGGAGTCGGAGGCCACGGGGATCCAACCGAGACCTCGCTATAAGTGCGCAATCGTCGCCACTCTCGTATGCTCGTGGGAGGCACGGCGGAGATGAGGGCATCGTATTTCGTACATATCTGGCGATGTGTTCTTGTGTATGGAGCGTTCATGCAAATATTCCCACGTGGCTGCGAAACTCGCAACTTTCGCCACTTTCGTGGGGGCCTGGGGGGCACCTCGGAGTAGCGGCGTACGCGGGCCCAGCCGAGACTTCGCTGTGCCCTGGGTTGCTGCGAACTGCGCATTTGGCGCCACTTTTGTCGGGGGCCACGCGCACCCAGCCGAGACCTCGCAGCTCCCTCAGTGGCTGCGAAGAGTCGGGGAGCACGTGCATCCAGGCACGACCTCGCAGCTCCCTGGGTGGCTGCGAAGTGAGGAATTGGCACCCTTTTCGTAGGCTCCTGGGAGGTCCAGCGGAGTCGGGGGCCACGCGCACTCAGCCGAGACCTCGCTGCCCTCTGGGAGGCTGCGGGCTGCGCAACTGTCGCCATTTTCGTGGGCAACTGGGAGGTCCACCAGAGTCGGGGGCCACGCGCACCCAGACGTTACCTCGCTGCTCCCTGGGTTGCTGCGAACTGCACATTTGACGCTTTTTTCGTGGGCTCCTGTTTCGGAGGCTCGTCGGAGGCACGGCGGGGATGAGGGCAGCGCAGTTCGTGCACATCTGGCGATGTGTTCTTTTGTATGGAGCTTCCATGCATATATTCGCCTCGCGTGGAGAAGGGGTTGGGTACATCTCGGGTAACTCCAACCCTCCTGCGTTGGGTTCTCGTTTAGAATAAACAGATCACTGTGGTATCCTCTCCCTCTCCCTCTCCTTCTCCCTCCCCCTCCGCCTCCTCCTGTTTCCTCCCTTCTGGCAGCTGCCTTTTCCTCCCTCCTGCCTCTTCTCTGGCTCCTGGGAGGCACGGAAGAGTCGGGGAGTACGCGCATCCGGCCGAGACCTGGCAGCTCATTGGGTGGCTGCGAACTGCGCGATTGTCACCACTTTCGTGGGCTCCCGGGGGGGCACGACGGAGTCAGCGAGTACGCGCATCCAAACGGGACCTCGCAGCTCCCTGGGCGGTTGCGAACTGCGCAGCTGGCGCCACTTTCGTGGGCGCCTTAGAGGCACGGCGGAGTCGGGGAGTAGGCGCCCCCAGACGGGACCTCGCAGCTCCCTAAAGGGGCTGTGAGTTGCACAACTGTTACCACTTTCGTGGGCTCCCGAGAGGCACGGCGGCGTCAGGGATCACGCGCATCCATACGGGGCCTCGCTGCGTCTTTGGGCGACCACGATCTGCGCAGTTGGCGCCACTTTCGTGGGCTCCCGGGAGGCACGGCGGAGTCGGGGAATACGCGCGCTCATTTGAGACCTCGCAGCTCCCTGGGTGGTTGCGAACTGTGTGTGCAACTGGCGCCACTTTCGTGGGCGCCTCGGTGGCACGGCTGAGTCGGGGAGTACGCGCGTCCAGGTGGGACCTCGCAGCTCCACTGCACAACTGGCGCCACTTTCGCGAGCGCCTGGGAGGCACGGCGGAGTCGGGGAGTGCGCGCGCCCAGCCGAGGACTCGCTGCTCCCTGGGTCGCTGCGAACTGCGCAGCTGTCGCCACTTTCGTGGGCTCCTGGGAGGTCCTGCGGAGTCTGGGTCCACGCGCACCCAGCCGAGACCTCGCTGCTCCCTAGGTGGCTGCGAATTGTGCCATTGTCACCACTTTCGTGGGCTCCTGGGCGGTCCAGCGGAGTCGGGGGCCACGCGCACCCGGCCGAGACCTCGCAGCTCCCTGGGCGGCCGCGAACTGCGCAACTGTCACCACTTTCGTAGGCTCTTTGGAGGCACGGCGGAGTCGGGGAGCACGCGCATCCAGACGGGTCCTCGCAGCTCCTTAGGTGGGCCGTGAGCTGCGCGCGCTCATTTGAGACCTCGCTGCTCCCTGGTTGGTTGCGAACTGCGCAGTTATCGCCGCTTTCGTGGGCTCCTGGGAGGTCCAGCGGAGTCGGGGGCTACGTGGTTCCAGCCGAGTCCTCGCTATAAGTGCGCAATCGTCGCCACTCTTGTATGCTCGTGGGAGGCACGGCTGAGATGAGGGCATCGCATTTCCTGCATATCTGGCGATCTGTTCTTTTGTATGGAGCGTTCGTGCAAATATTCGCCTCTCGTGGAGAAGGGGTAGAATGGGTTGGGTACCTCTCGGGTCCATTGGAGGCCCTCCTGGGGAACCTCTTGGAGTCTTCTTGGGGCGCTTCTTGGATCGTCTTGAGGCAATATCGGGTCGTCCTGGGGCAATCTTGGTCTGTACTGGAGGCATCTTGAGTCTACACGGAGCCAACTTACTTGGGCCAACTTGGACCGATTTGATGCCCTTTTGGAGACCCTCTCAGAACCATCTTGGACGAGAACGGCCCACGGGGAGCACCTTCTCCGCGCGGCCGGCCTGTTGGGCCAGAGGACGCCGGGAACCTCTTGGACGGGGCAAGAAGTGTTGCAATCAAGGGCGACGATAGGGGGGGATGGGCATAGGGCGGGGATGCCTGGACCCCCAAGCGCCCATTGATCGCCGATCGGTGTCCGACAGCCACAACCTGCCCAGGAACGTGCGGATTCACTATCGGGGGCCTATCGCCGATCTATCGGCGATATGTCGCCGATTCTATGTCGATGCGTCCCCTCCTATGCCAGTCCCCCCTCCATCGCTGCCCCTCATACAAATCCTGGCACGCCAAGCGCCCCTCCAGCAGGCCGCGGGGGGGGGCGGATCGAAGGCGCCACTGTCGCATCACCGCCGCCCCCTGCTGTGCGTTGAGATGTCGAGCAGGAGTGCGACCATGCTGGAGGTCGGGGTTTCTCCCCGGCGCTGGGGGGCACCACTGGAGGAACACTCGGGAGGGGCCAGCTAGAGTCGTTTTGGGGCTATCTTGGGTTCGGGCCATTTGGGCCTTCTTGGGCTGGTGGGGCTCTCTTGGACCGCCTTAGGGCTCTCCTAGGGCCGTCTCAGCGTGCTCGGTGCAGCCGTTTGGCGCCTTCGGAGGCCGTCTTGGGGGCCTATCTGGACCGTCTTGGGGACCTCTTGGGTTGTCCCGGGGCCCTCTTGTGACTTCCTTGGGCCGTCCCGTGGCTCTCTTGAGCCGTCATGGGGTTGCCTCGGGGCCGTCTGGGGACCCTCTTGCAGGCCGACTTGGGTCGCCGTGGGGCAATATTGGAGGCCTCTTTGGTCGTCTTGGATTTTCGGAAGCTTGAAACGGTGAGAACGCGAAAGCAATAGAGACAAATCAACTCAATGATTTTGGTACGCGGGGGGCCTCTTGGAGCTCATCTTGGAGCTTTCTTGGTACGTCTTGGGGGCCTCCTGGGCCGTCCTGAGATCATCTTTAGCCGTCTTGGGGCCATCCTTGGCGTTCTGAAAGGAATCGTGGGGCCACCTTAGGCCCTGCCGAGGCCATCTTGGCCTTCTCGGGGGGCGTCATGGCACCGTCTTGGAGGTTATCTTGGGCCATCTTGGCCGTCTTCGAGGCTGTCCTGGGGCTGCGGCCCGACGGTTGCACTGCGCTCTGTGCATCCTGACGCGGCCGCCTCGATGCGAGTCCGACTCCAGGCCCGTGCGGCGAGAACCGCCGCGCGCTCCGATCCGACCTGATTCCTCTGTTCAGTGCCGACCGCTCATGCCTCGTGGCTGATGGCGCGACGCCGACGAGGACGGCGGGGGCGATGGCAGCGGCTTCGCCGACGGGGGCAGCGGCGACGACGAGGTCTTCCACGCCCGGCCGAGCCGGGAGGGCGCGCGCGCCGATCCTGGGCGCGGGACGGACCTGGCCAGGGTCGGCGCGGGTGCACAAACGGAAGGTGCAGTCCGCCTTGCGGCCGATGGCGCGACGCCGACGCCAGCGGTGGCGGGGACGACGGCGCGGCGGCGGCGGCGAGAACGACGACGAGGGCCTCCCTGCCGCCGCAGGCGCGAGGCAACAACCGCCTCCCAGGCGCGGCCGGCCCGCGCCTCTCTCTCTGGCGGCAGGTCGGCGCAGACCTCCGCCCTCCTCCCCCTCAGACCTCCCGCGAGGAGAACGGGGGGGGAGACGTCGTCGTCGTCGTCGTCGTCGTCGTCGTCGTCGTCGTCGTCGTTGTCGTCGTCGTCGTCATCGAGGTCGTCGTCGTCGTCGTCGTCGTCGTCGTCGTCGTCGTCGTCGTCGTCGTCATCGAGGTCGTCGTCGTCGTCGTCGTCGTCGTCGTCGTCGTCGTCGTCGTCGCTGTTGTTGTTGCTGCTGTTGCTGTCGCCGTCGTCGTCGTCCAGGCCACTCACATGTCGCCCTGAAGCAAGCGGGTCCTCAGGGAAACTGGTCCTGAGGATTATGGCCGTTCCTGGGCCCTTGGGGCCTTTCACGTGCCGCGGACTGTCACAAAACGACTCAGGATGCAGACTTGGTCCTGGGGAAAGCTCCCCGGATCCAGGACCTATCTCCTTCAGGGCCCGCTTCCTTAATGGCGGCCGGAGCTGACGGCCCTCTGACGATGCACCAGCGAAGTGGCGCGACCCGGAGCCCGATTATATCCATACGTCGTCAACGCATCGCCGATGTATCGGACCCACTGACCCCATCCTTTCCATCCCCATTTGGGCGGCCCCCAGGGAGGGAAGGATGATCATTATCGAAGACGCCTACGGCGAATCACCGCCTTTCGAAAACACCCCTGCGGCCAATCGTTGGGCCGAAGTCGGGCCAAGCTATTGGACTATGTGTTCCCCCAGCCGTTGTGGAACCTCTTGGGTGAACACTAGGGAGAGGACGAGAAATGAGGAGGAGAGGGAGAAGAAGGCGGAGGAGGAAGAAGAGGAGGCCTCTTGAGGGGCTCTTTGGGACTTTCGGAGAGCCTTTCGGGGGGCTCTAAGGGGCATCTTGGGGGCCTCTGGGGGCCTCTTGGGGGTTTCCTGGGACCTCTTGGGGACCTCTTGGGGACCTCGTGGGGGCCTCTTGGGGGCCTCCTGGCCTTCGAAGGCCGTCTTGGGCCCTTCCTGGGCAGTCGTGGGTCCCACTTTGGGTGCTTGAGGGCCGTCTTGGAGGTCTCTGGGGCCATCTTGGGGGCGTCTTGGGGGCCTCTTGGGCTGTGTTGGGGTCCTCTTGGCCTCCTGGGCCGTTTTGGGGGGATCTTGGGGGCCTGTGGGCCCGTTCTGGAGCGTCGGAAGCCCGAAACGGCGAGAATGTTAGCATCATTGAAGAATGTGAGGACCATCAACGATTGTGGTCTCCTGGAAGTCCTCTTGGAGCCCATTTGGGGTGTCTTCGGGGCCTTTTGTGCCGCCTGGAGGACATCTTGTGCCCTCTTGAGGCCATGTTGGCCGTCTTGGAGGCGTTTTGGGACCGTCTTGGAGGCCGTCTTGGGTCTTCTTGGCCGTCTTAGGGGCCATCTTGGCCGTCCTGGAGGCCATCTTGGGCGTCTTGGGGGCCTCTTGGGCCGTCTTTGGGCCCTCTTGGGACCGTCTTGGGGGCTTCTTGGGCTGTCATGGGGCCATCTTGGCAACCATTTGGGCGATCTTGGGGCTATCTTGAGTGTCTGTTGGGCCAGCATGGGCCGTCGGACGGCCGAAGGAGCAAATACAAGCACCAAAGGAACATACCATGATTTTGGCCTCAGGCCTCTTTTGTAGCCCTCTTGGGGGCCTCTTGGGCTGTTTTGGGCGATCTTGAGGCAATTTTAGGCCGTCTTGGGTGCATCCAGGGCCGTCTTGGGGTAATCTTGGAGCCATCTTGAGCTCTCTTGGAGCGATCTTGGCCGTTTTGGAGACATCTGGGCGGTCATCTTGGGCCTTCTTGGCTGTCTTGGAGGTGCTTGGGCCAATAGAGGGCGCACTTTGCGCAGCTCTCCGGGTGGCTGGCGGGCTGGGCCGAAATCCCAGGCGGAATTCTTTTGGAAATGAATCAACAACTCCCATACATACAGCATGCCATGCACCCCTGTGGCAAGACCACAGGGTGCGGCCCATTTCACCACCGTGCCTGTGGTGTAGGTCAGAGGCCTCTTGGATGCCAGTGGGAATCTCTGGGGAGGCCTCTCGGAAGCCTCTTGCAGGCGGGTTTGGGGTGTGGGGCATCTCGGGAGCCTCTTGCGGCCTGACTTGGGTCTCTTCTTGGCATCGCTCGGACGTGTGCATTTTTTCTCGGCGAGGACCGTCGAGGACCATGCTGCATCTTCTTGCGAAAAATAAGCGCGCGATGCCGAAAGATGCACAGGGAAGGGACGACCGAGCGATGGCAAGTTTTGGGGGCCTCCTGGCGGGGCCCTCTCCATCAACTGGAGTTCAACGAGGGCCTCAAGATGGCGTGCCACTGCCCCGATTGACCTTTCGCGGGCAGTGCTACCACAACCAGCTCGGGAGAGGGCGCAACTACACACGGCAGCCGATCGACTTAGCTACGCGCGCCGGTGTCTTGGGGCGATTACACACCTTCGGTGGCACCTTGTCCCTTCTGTTCTTGCCTTTTCCTTCCTCCTGTCCTGACGTCGTCTCCCGCCTGCTTTCCTCCCTTTCCCTTCTGTGCCTTTTTCATGCTATTCGAGGAATAGTTTGTTGCACAACAAGTGTTGCAGCATTTTGCAGCGAGCACGCAGACGCGCCGCTCTGCTTTCCCGCGCGCCCACTTACATGCGCCGCCCGCAGCCGGCGACTCCGACCGACCGAGGGGAGAATCCCTTCCTCCATTGACGGATGGGTTCCGATTCGACCGAGGCGGTTGCGCAAGCGGTCAAGTCCGCCCGTGATAGACGAGCGGCCTTTGTACAGCCATGAGGGCTGGTGCGAGCCCGCGGCGATGCGCGAGAGGGGTCGTTCGAGACCTTCATTGGAACACGTCTCCGATCGGCTCGTCATGGCTCGCGGGCCGACGCCTTTCGATCCTGCCGCTGGAAGATTCGACTGGCGCAGCAGCTCCTCGCCCTGCGGGCGGTCCGTGGCAGAGCAGCTGCGAGAGCCCAGACTTCGGAGTTTTTTTTTTTTTTTTTTTTGTTTGTTGTTTGTATTTTTCCGGTCCGCGGTCTCCCGAGGTGGCTGGGTCCCTTCTTCGGGGGGGCAGCGTCCTTCTCGCTGGGATCTTCATTCCCAATGGGCCCCAGGGCCCGAGCACGGCCCCCAGGGGCCGGAGGCAAGGCAAAGCCTTGGGACTGAGATCAGCCAGCCTGGAGCACACTCCCATCCCGATGCTTGGCATCAGCTTACCTCGATACAGATTTTCAGCGTTCCCGCAGCTCTGAGGGCCTACCCTAAGATTGTCGTTGCTTTTGGCTTGCCCATCTCAGTGATAGGGACCCGTTCGTTATGAGGAACATCCTTGAGGCCTCGAGCGGCGCGTAATGGTAGTATGATCTAGTCCACTTGTCAGTTCCGTAAGCTATGGGCCGACGCTCGCGCGGCGATGCTCCGGAGTCAGTCCGATGTAAATCCGACGTGAATCCGACGTAGTCCGACGTGAACCCGACGCAAATCCGACGTGGACCCGACGTGGACCCGACGCAAATCCAAGTTGCCGCGCGAGGCCTCTAGGATTTTCTTCTTCAAGTTCGAGGCTGGCTAGACTGTGCAAGAGAGTGCGCACCGCGCCTGCGCTCCTCCCCCCCTGGGTGCCACGCCCGCTGCGCGCCCGCCTGGCCCGAGGCCTCATGACGCTGGGCTACATCGCAGCGTTCTCCGAGACGCTGGCCCTCGCCGTGGTGGTCTCCAAGGGCATCCCTCCCCTGAAGGACGCTCTCATCAACGAGCCCGAGGACACGAGCGTGCTGCAGCCGCTCTGGCCACGCTGGAGGCGGAGGGAGGCGGAGGCCAGAGCAGGGTGGGGGGGGGCAACACACGGGGGCAGTACTCGGGGCCAGTACATGGGGACAGTACTTGGGGGCAATGCGTGAGAGCAGTACTTGGGGGCAGTGCGTTGAAGAACTGCTCTGACGTGGGGCCACGCAACCACGCGCGGGCTTTACGGCCGCCGCCGGCCCCTCACTTTCATCCGCACAGGCTGCGTGCATAGTATTCCCCCTGGGGAGTCCCGTCGGCCTTCGCACCCGTCCTCGAAGGGTCGCAGATGCGATGGGCACCCCTGGAGGGGGTGGTGTAACGAGCATAGCTCCCCCAGTTGTGGCTGGTCGGACTGGGGCACCGGAGGGGGTGGCTTGTCGAGCCCAGCGAGGGGAGGCAAGGAGGGCGTCATGCATCCAGTGGCCTTCGGCCCGTCCCGCCACCGTGCCTGGGTTGCGGGCCAGAGTCAGAGCTCTCTTGGGTGCCTCTTAGGGTCCGCGGGGGTCTCTCGGGAGTCCTCTTCGGCGCCTCTTGGGCTTCTGCGGGGGCCTCTTGGGCGCCTCTTGGTGGTATTCTGGGGCCTCTTGGGCTCCTCGGGGGGCTTCTTGGGGCCTCTTGGCGGCCCCGGGGGCCATCCTGGCACTATATGGCTCCCGAGACCAGTTCGGGTTCCCCCCCAGGGTCAACACACATAATAGAAACACAGGTTTTCAATGGCTTCGGACTTCGGGGGAAGTCACACGAACAAGCTCCAGGAGCGCCCGTGAGTTGGGGCTTGGGACCCCAACCGGAATTTTACAATACTCAATGCACAGAGCTCGAAGGAACCTGAGGGCATTCCACTGCACATGGCGCGATGGCGGGTACGCCACCACCGATCCTGGCCAGGTCGATCCTGGGCGCGAGATCGGTGTACGTGCCTTTCTGGCCATGCTAGGAGGAGGGTGTATACACAGATCCTGAGGTCAGGACGGGCCTAGCCAGGATCGGCGTAAGTGTACATTTGACGACCTCCTACACCCAGATTTTCGACATATTGTGCTTTGAATCCGCGGGCCATAGAGATCTCGACGCCTTCCCTGGGGACATGTCCTGGGCAGTTTGTTTTGGTGGCCCCAGGGCCCGAAAACAGCCCCATGAGGGCCGAGATCGAAGCCCCCCCCCTGGATAGAACAGCTCAATCCGCCCTGAGTCCAGGCAGTTTGCTCCCTCGTACAGTCCAGGCAGCCCACATGGTTGAAGCAGATGGGGCCAGCGGATCGCGCCTTATCGCTGATGCATCGGTGATATGGCTCGATTCGCAGCCCAAGTTTCTCCACTCCGACGTCGCCGATGTGTCGCCGATGCATCGGCGATGCGGCCCGATCCTCCAGCCTCATCCTCTCGGACCCCATCTGGGCTGCCTCCAGACATGGGGCACGGAGGGCGGGCAGGGAGCCTCGGCCAGAGGACCACATCAAGGCCGCCTCGGCCTGGTCGCTGGGCCAGATCGGGCGCCACTCCCCGGACCACGCCCGCGCACTGGCGGAGGTGGCCCCCCTGCAGGGGAGGAGCGGCTGGGGTGGTGGTGGTGGTGCCGCAGCAGTTCTTCTCAGGCGGAGGGGGAGGATGCGGACGTGGATGAGGTTGAGGATGATAATGAGGAGGAGAAGGAGGAGGGGGAGGAGGAAGAGGATGAGGAGGATGCGGAGCTTGCGGCGGAGAAGAGGGCGTGAACGGGGGAGGAATAACATGAGGAAGATGATCAGGAGGATTGAGGAAGAGGATGTTTGTGCGACCTGGCCTCGGCATCCGTTCTTCCGCTCTGCAAGCTTTTTGGTTCAGGAGGGTATGGAAGCCGCCAGTCCCCTTCTGGCCACCCTCTCTGCCCTACGCGAGCTGGCCCTCTGTCGTGCACTGGCCTATCCCAGCCCCGTGAATTGCCACTGTGAGGTGGCCGCTTCCGAGGCGGCGGTGCCTGGCGAGTGCCGCCTGCTGGCTGACTTGGTGGGGCGCCCCACGCAGTGTGTCTGCCAGTGCGACTGCCGCTGCGAGACGCAGGCCACCGCTGGCGGCTGGACAGCCGCCCGGCTACTGCTGTACGTCGTGCCCCTCCTCGTGGGCGCCTCTGCCGCGGGCCTCTGCATTGGCCGCGGTGCGTCCCGCGAGCCCGCGCCCTCCCGGGTGACCTCTGAGATTATCACCACGGACAGCGAGGATGGCGACGCCCGATTGGGTCCAGCACTTGCAGGTCGGCGATCGGGTCTTCGTCTGCTACCACCAGGACGCGGACGGGGCGGTGGTGGAGTGGCATGAGAGGCTGCTTCTCGCCCAGATCGTCGGGGTGAACTGGGTTGTGATCTCGCGGGATTTCGACATCTTCGAGGAGAACTTTGCGGAGAGCGACGTGCTCAACAAGTTCGGCGCTGGCGGGGCTTTGCCCCCTGCCTTGCGGGGTTTGGCGGTGTACCGCATCGATCAATTCGCGCTCGGCAAGCACATGCAGTACTACATGGACACGGGGGAAGCGCTGGCCAAGGGTCTCCGCCCCGCTGGCGCTGGCGCGGACGCCGCGCCCGCGCCTCCTGGCAAGGGCGGCCCGCCCGCGACGCCCGCGGGCACATGGGTCGCCGCTAAGAGCCGGGGTGGGGTGAAGGTCGGTGACTCTTTGCTGGCGCAGATGGGTGAGTGGGCCCACGTCGTCAACGATCGGTGTTTGTTCATCCTCACTGACGGCGTTGTGCTCTCGGGCGGGCTGGAAGACTCCCTCGTCAAGGAAGGGGCGGTGGCGGTGTCTGCCTCGCGTATCCTGCCCGTGAAGCGTGCTGGCATGCGGCGCTTCCGTCGACCATTTGCGGAGGCTCTGCACGCCATGAAGGAGGTTGACTTTTCGGCGCAGGCTGGGTGATCAAGGGTCCACGCTCGTCCTACTTCGTCGCGGAGCGTATCCACGAGGGTATTCAGGGGCCGGTGCAACGTCATTATCGGTGGCGTTCGGTGCTAGGACTTGCCGCGTCGGACGTGGGAGTCGATGAGCACCTGCTCCATCCCAGCTGTTGGAGGTCGCTCTCACGATTGACCAGGTGCAGGTAACTTGGCGGCGTTTGAGCTCATCAGTCGTCGCTATCGGTTGTGGGGGAGTGCCTGCAAAGATCTGCTCCGTGAAGTGGACGCTCGGTCGGCTAGCGGCGACGACTTGCTGAACGAGCGCTGGTTGTTCTTGGGCGTCAAGAACTTGCGGATCAGTGTGGTCGTCATGCCCGTGCTGGGGGACTTCGTGGCCAAGGAGCTCTCCACGCGTGCCGCCGTGCTGAGGTATCGCCGCAGGCGCGTGAGGAGGCCGCTCTGGCCAAGGGCATCGACTCGACCCCGTCGGCGAAGCAGACCGCCGAGTGGAAGGAGGGAGAGAGGGGAAGAGGGCAGGCTTAACGGCTTGCTTCCATCTATCTTGTGCCGCCGCGAGCAGGGCGCCCCGCCTCCTCGAGGGCGCGGCAGGTGGTGGCCGCCTTGGTGTTTTCAAGCTGCGCATGGCTCGCCAGCGCGACGTCCTCCCCATCTCCCTGGCCGCTGCCTCGGAGGTCTGCGCGGGTGGTGCCAGCGGCGCGGGCCTGTCTCAGAGTCAGTGACGACGTCCCAGACAATTCGCGCCAATTAAGAGACGTGGACCCCGAGGCCCTTTGGATTTTAGACGAGGCCCCTCTCCCACCTCTCGGCGACGTCGGGTCGCTGCGCGGGTTGCGCATCGGTGATTTCGCGTGTGTGAGCGTGGGCCCTGTCGTCGCTGAGGGGGTCGTCGTGGGGGTGGAGGAGCAGTTGGGTCTGGAGGGGATCGCGTCGTCTTTGGAGCCGGAGAGCCCGGGGGCCATGATTTTATCGGCTTCGCTTTGTTGGGGGCGCGTGGGGGGTGGCGACCTGAAGGTGAAGCTCGCGGCTGACTATCTCTTGGAGAGCGGGCGCGGCGTCGCGGGCCAGGAGTTGTAAAGTTTCGTTGGTCGCGTCGCTGCTCTGTTCTCTTTGACCCCTGAGCTCTGGTGTGCGATGGGGAAGGTCTATGTATTCGTCCGCGGTCGTCATGTGCGCCGCCAGACTCTCTGGCCATCTGCGTGTCGCGAAGTTCGTTGGCTCCGCGCGCTCCTTCCGCTCGCTCGATCCTGTATGCGACGCCCCTGGTGGGGTCGCGTCTTCGGGTGCGACGCGTCTGCTCGGGGCTTTGGGGTGGGCAGTGTCCACTGCCTTCCTGGCGAAGTTGCTGCTGTCGGTCGGGTTTGAGAACGAGCTCGTTTTCGTGGGCTCCTGAGCGTTGCGGGGGCTCCTCGGTCTCGGGCTCTGGGCCATGGGAGGAGGTGTGCGTCTCGGAAGCTTCGGGGGATGTGGTCTTGGAGCTTGGGCGTCTACGGGAGTTTGTGGAAGTCCCTGCTTCGTTCTTTGACGCGGACTGGGAGTGGCCTCTGCCGGGCGCTGGAGGGTCTCAGGTCCAGCTGGGGGCTCGTGCGCGGACGTGGACTGTCCGACATATCTCGCGAGACCGTGGCGTTCGCGATTCCCGAGTGCTGATGTTGGGCGACAATGTGTCAGTGATCCGTGCACGCGCCATGGGCCGCTCTTCGAACCCTGCCACGAACTTTCAGTGTCGCATCTCGGCCGCCTTCGACCTAGCCGTCGGGCTCGAGGTCTTGGGCTGCTGGGCGCCTTCGGAGCGGAGCGCTCTTGGCGGTGCCGGTCGGGTGTTTCAGTCCAGGCGCGGTTCTCGGGGCCCGCAGGAGGGGCTCGCGCGATGCCGCCCCCCGCCCGGCGGCGCAGTTGCCGCCCGCGGCCCCGCCCGATTCCAACGACGCGGGAAGCGCAGGCCCAGGCCGCTTCAACGCGCCGCGCGGTCGGGGGGGCGCTCGCTCCCGAGCTCGCGGCGCGAGAGCTGGGCCGAGCGGCCGGGGGGGCCCCTGGCGCGCCCGAGCTGGCGGCGCGCGGCGGGGCCCCCGCGGGGGCCCCTCTGGCCAGGTCGCCCCCCAGGCCTGGCTGGCGAGGGTTCGCGCCGAGGCGCGGAAGCGGCTGCTGGGCCTGGCCCCCGAGCTCACCCCCTTGCAGCAGGAGCGGGCGAGGCCCAGCGCGCAGCAGGGCTACTGCCGCGCGTTGGAGCGTTTGGCGTCCTTCCTCGAGCGGCGCCCGCTGCGCGGCTGGTCGGCCCCGCAGTGGGATCGGCGTCTCCTTTCCTTCGTCGAGTGGGCGAAGGCCGCGGTCTGGGGCAGGGCTCCGGCTACCAGGCTGTGAGCGGCGCTGGTGTGGGTGCAGCCGCGCTTGGGCGGGCCGCTGAGAGTGATCTTCCCGGGGTCGCACGCCGTCGTGCTGGGGTGGAAGCAGTTGCAGCCGTCGCGCAGCCGCCCTCCTCTTGCGCGGGGAGTTGTCCTGGCGCTGGCGTGGGCCATGCTGCCCTCGTGCCCTGTGGGGGCGCTGGCCGTCGTCGTGATGTTCGAGACCTACCTGCGGCCCTCCGGGCTGCTGAGCCTCGCGGTCGCGCAGCTCGTCCCTCCCGCGAGCCAGGGGGGCGCGGGGCCTGCTGGGCCTTCTGCGTTCTCATGGGGGGGGCTCGGGCGGCCGTCCAAGACCCGACAGTTCGACTTCGGTGCGCTGCTCGACCTCGAGCGGCGCGGGGCGCTGACCCCAGCGCTGCGCGTGCTCCTGGGGCCCCGCGGCCGTCGGGGGCGCGCGTTCGACATCGGCCCTGGGCAGTTGCGCCGCGCCGTCGCGGACTCCGGTGGAGCAGCTGGGGGTCTACTCGGTCGAGCCGACGCTCGGCGCGCTGCGACGCGGGGGGGCCGGCCGCGACCGCCTCGTGCAGGCGCGCTTTCTCGGCGAAGTGCGGCAGCGCGGGCACTGGCGCAGCTTCCGCAGCGTGGCTCGTTGCGACAGGCGCGCGCGGGCCTCCTTGCAGATCGGCGAGTTCCCGATGGCAGTGCAGGCGGAGATCGCAGGCATCCAATCCTTCTCTGTCGCTCACAGGGCACCGCAGTGGCCGCGTTTTCCTCGTCGCCCACGCAGCCCAGAATGCCCAAATTGTCCCCCGAATCTTTCTGACAAAGACCGCGGCGTCGTCGCGGAGGGCAATGTGTTGGCTCAGCGTAGTGGGATCTTACTCGCCGCTTGTATCGCTCGTGGCCTTCCTTGTGGCAAAGAGAACCCTGCTCAATCCTATTTGTGGTCAGTGTATGGTCGGCCTGAGATGATGAGACATATGGCTTGAGCGGCTTATGTAGTTGATTACTGCGCCTTTTGAACTGTTTGGCGTGCGCGGGCACGCCTGCACCTGTTTCATTGCAAATGTCCTTCTCTTCGTCCATATATATATATGTTCGAGTCGAGCTATATGTGCGTTTCCCGGTAAACCACGCGATCATTTGGATGTGCCCACAGGATTTGCAGGCTTTCATACACGGCAAAAACAAGTTTATCCAGAGAAGCTCTGCGAGGCACGACCGAAAGCTTTCGCAACCTCCCTCAGCCTCTTGCGCGTCAATGCCTTGTGGCCTGTTCTCGCCTCCGCCTCCTTCCGCCCCTCCTAATTCGTCGGGCCTCGGGAGCGGTTTCCGTCAACAACTTGTTTTTTTAGGTTCAGTTGTCGCTCGCATTCGCCATGCCAGTGTTGATTGCGGGAGTTCTGGGAGTGGGCAGATTCGATTGTGCGTGCTCACCCTATCTCCGAAAACAGTGGTTTGTAAACGAGCTGCCAGCGTCATGTTTGTGCCCCGCGGGAATGACCTGGCCTCGGCATCCGTTCTTACGCTTTGCAGGCTTTCCGGTTCACCCAGAACACTCCCGCCCCCAACAAGCTGGAGCATATTCGATTGTGCGTGCTCACCTGGTCACCGCAACCAGTGGTTTGGAAGATATGTGCGAGCGTCATGATGATGACGATATTGATGATGTTGATGCTGATGCTGATGATGCTGATTACGATGCTGTTGATGATGGTGATGGTGGTGAGGATGACGACGATGAGGATGATAATGGTGATAATGATGGTGATGATGGTGTTGTTGATGTTGGTGTTGGTGATAGTGATGACGAGGAGGATGACATGAAGGGGGAAGGAGGAGGATGATCAATGCAGAGTACGGTTGGTGATGCTGACCGTGTTTGTCATGTTGTTGTTGATGATGTTGATGATGCTGGTGATGATGATGATGTTGGTGATGATGATGATGATGGTGATGTTGATGATGCTGATGCTGTTAACGATGCTGATGCTGCTGCTGCTGATGGTGCTGATGGTGGTGCTGGTGATGGTAACGATGCTGATGATGATGATGATAATCATCGTGCTCATAATAATGCTGTTGATACTGCAAATGATCAGTCTGAAGATTCGTATGATGATGCTGATGATGCTGATGATGATGACGATGATGATGATGATGTTGTTGTTGAGTATGATGGTGATGGTGATGCTGATGATGAGGATGCTGATAGTGATGATGAACATGATAACGATGTTGGTGTTGGTGATGATGATTCTGGTGCGGACGGCGATGCTGATGTTACTGATGATGCTGATGCTGATGTTGATTATGATGATTTCGTGGATGAGAACTACTATGATGGTGCTGATAGTAATGATGATCATGATGATAATGCTGATTTTGATGCTGCTGATGCTGATGCCGATTCTGATGATGATGCTGATGATGACTATATTGCGGATGATGCTGGTGATGATGATGATGATGATGGTGATTCTGCTGCTGATGAGAATGGTGATTCTGATGATGATGATGATGATGATGGTGGTGGTGGTGGTGGTGGTGGTGGTGATGATGATGATGATGGTGGTGATGATGATGTGATGATGACGATGATGATGCTGATGATGATGATGATGCTGCTGCTGATGCTGATGATGATGATGATGATGATGGTGGTGGTGGTGGTGATGATGATGATGATGATGATGGATGCGGGCAGGAGCGACTGCGGCCGGGAAGATGACGAACAGGAGGAAGAAGAGGAGGAGGAGGAGGAGACCGGTGGTGGTTGTGAGGAGGAGGAGGAGGAGGATTTGGATGATGATGATGATGATGATGATGATGATGCTGCTGCTGCTGCTGCTGCTGATGATGATGATGATGATGATGATGATGATGATGATGATGATGATCAGGAGGAGGAGGAGGAGGAGGAGGAGGAGGAGGAGGAGGAGGAGGGGGAGGTGAGAGAGGGACAGGGAGGAGGAAAGGGGAAGAGGAAGATGATGAGGAGTAGGAGTAGTAGGAGGAGGAGGAGGAGGAGGAGGAGGAGGAGGAGGAGGAGGAGGAGGAGGAGGAGGAGGAGGAGGAGGAGGTGGATGAAGAGTAGGAGGAGGAGGAGGAGGAGGAGGGAGGAGGAGGAGGAGGCGGAGGAGGAGGAGGAGGAGGAGGAGCAGGGGGAGGAGGGGGGAGGAGGAGGAGGAGGAGGAGGAGGAGGAGGAGGAGGAGGAGGAGGAGGAATTTGTGGATGAAGCATAGCTGAGGAGGGATGAGGGAGGCGACTTCATGACGGAGAGAGGGGAGGCCACGCAGGGGGATGAGCTAAGAGGAAGGAGGATGGATTGCGAAGGCCTTACGGCCTGTGCCGCCGACCCTGGAGGCCACGAATCTGGAAACGCGGGGGGTGGTGGAGGAGGAGGTGGAGAGGGGGGAAGGGTGGAGGAGGCAGTTGAGGGAGCAGGCGGGGGAAAATGATGAGGAGGAGGAACATGAGGAGGAGGAAGAGGAGCAGGCACAGGAGGGACGCCCCCCCCCCCCCACCCCCGGCGGTGAAGGGATACAGGGAGTTCTCGGGGGGGGGCCTCTTGGGGGTAGTTCTGGGGCCTCTTGGGAGGCTGTTGGGGGCCGCTTGGGAGCCTCGTGGGGGCCTCTTGGAGCTTCCTGGGGGTCTCTTGGGAGCCTCTTGGGGCTTCGTGGGGAGCTTCTTAGGGGCCTATGGGGGCCTCCTGGGAGCTTCTGAGGCCGACGGTTCGAAATGTCCGGTCGAGCTCTCTCTTGGAGCCGTCTTGGGGACCTCTTGGGCTATCTTGGAGGCGTCTTGGGCGATATTGGGGCGGTATTGGGGGCTTCTTGGCCTGTCTTGGAGCGTCGGGAAGCTGACAAGACGAGAGTGCCCCAATCTTTCAAAACCTAAGGGAAATCTATGATTTTTGCTTCTTGGGGCCCTCTTGGGGCCCTCTTGGGACCCGCGCCACCAGCACGGCACGGCCGTGCAGCAGTGGCTGATCAAGCTCGTGGAGTTCGAGGGCGGCAAGAGGCTGGTGGGCGCCCCGCCACGTGGCCCGCTAGAGAGGGTCCTCAGCAAGTACGTGGACGAGCGTACGAAGAAGTAGAAGGGCTCCCGAGAATTTTACAGACGAGCTCGCGTTTGGCTGAGCTGAGGTTAAGAGGTTTTGTTCTCCCCCCTGCTCCTCCTGCCTTTCCGTCCTCGTCCTCGGCCCCTCCTCCCACTCAAGGTTCTAATGCGCAGCAGGCTGTTCCCGACCCCCCGATTTTTTCGGACGGCCCTCCGACAGTAAATATCCCTAGGAGGCCGCGGGGAGGGGGTAGGGGGAAAGGTGGCCGCTCGAGAGGCAAAGGTCCCAGCAAAGGCAAGGGTCCGCGTACCTGAGGTCAGCCGAGCCTTCGGGGTGCTGCGTGCATCGGGCTTGTGCTGACAGGGTCCGTGCGGCATCTGGCCGAGTGTGGATCGTATCTTTTCGCAGTGTACGTCGGCTTCGTAGGTTAAGCCTCCTCAGGGAACAACCCCGTGGGCCGCTATGAGTGCTTCGCTTTTCGCTTCGATTCTGCGTCGGCAGTGCTCTCCTTCGGACCTGGTCCCCATGAGCTAGAAAGAAAAGAAGAGTGCCCTTGGATTGGGAACGTCCGAAACTGTCTGGAGGCTATCGCGACTTGGACCGATACTTCGGCGATTCGGGGCCCTCGAGGACATTCTTGGGGGCCTCTCGAGGCACTTTTGCTACGTCTTGGGGAATGTCCGGGCTCCCGAACCGCCCCGCCCGGAGGGGAGTCCCCCGGGACCTCCCCCGGGACCCCCCCCCCCCGGCGGGGAAGGGATCAAAGGGAAGGGGCTTCTCTTCGACTCAACTACAGCGCTGCTCAATTTCGTTGTGGCTGGCGCGTTCGGGGAGGAGGGCCCAGTGAAAGTGGAGGCAGCGGCGGCAGGCTCAGGGAAAGGGAGGGGACTGGCGACGGCGACAGCGACGACGACGACAACAACGACCACGACGACGGCGAGGACGAGTCAAACGGAACAGCTTCTTCCACTCGCCGACAAGGTCGGCGGATTTTGAGAACGCTGGTGAGGCTGAGGAGGAGACGGAGAACTAGGATGAAAAAATCAGGTACAGGAGATGGATGCCGATGATGGAATGAGGCAGGAAGTGGAGGATGGAGGTGGGAGGAAAGAGGGAGGGAGGATTATACCAGTATGGCTGAGGATGGATGCGGGACATAGGAATGGGGAATGAGGATCATGGGCGACGGAGTCGGGACGGAGTGGAGGGAGGAAGGGATGGCAGGATCTGGGACTATTGGAACGCAGTAGTATGGAATGGTGGGAATTCGAGGACAATGATAGGTATTTATTCGAGGCGATAGGAGGGGCTGTGAGGGAACGAGGTGGGAAGACAAACGCTTGAAGTCAAAGGGGGATGAGTGGCAGGCGTGAGAGGGGATGGGAGGGATTCTGATTATGATGATGATGATGCTGATGATGATGCGGATGCTGATGGTGATGATAGTAACAATTGATGATGACGATGACGAAGATGATGAACATGATGCTGCTGCTGCTGAAGATGATGATGATGGTGATGCCACTTATGATGATGGCGATGATGATGATGATGATTATGAGGATGATGGTCCGGTTGATGATGACCATGATGATGCTACTGTTGATGATGCTGCTGATGATGCTGATGGTGGCGATGACGATGATGCTGATGATGATGCTGATGATGCTGCTGATGATGATGATGGTGGTGCTGGTGGTGGTGGTGCTGATGATGATGCTGATGCTAATGGTGATGATGCTGGCGATGGTGAGACGGATGATGATGATGATGCTGATGCTGATGCTGCTGATGATGATGATGCTGCTGCTGATGCTGGTGCTAATGATGATGGTGATTATGGTGCGGCTGTTGCTGCTGATGACGTTGATGATGATAATGGTGATGTTGCTGATGATGATGTCGATGATGATGCCAATGATGATGCTGCGGATGCTGCTGATGATGATGACGATGATGACGATGCTGATGATGTTGACGATGACGACCATGATGCTGATGATGGTGATGGTGATGGTGATGGTGATGGTGATAATGCTGATGATGATGCTGAATCTGATGATGCTGATGATGATGCTGATGATGATGCTGCTGATGATGCTGCTGTTGCGGATGATGATGATGATGATGATGATGATGATGATGATGATGATGATGATGATGATGATGATGATGATGATGATGATGATGATGATGATGATACTGATACGGATACTGATGCTGATATTGAGGAGGAAGAGGAGGACGACGAGGAGGGCGACGAATGTGTTCAGGGATGGGACTGGGGCGGAAGGGCGGGTGAGTGGGGATGCCGAGGAGTGACGAGAGGGATGGGGGGCCTGGAGCAACTGCGATGAGATGGAGAGGGACAGTTTTGAGGGGAGCCTTAGGCGTCTTGCCCAACACATCGCTGGTGCTGGTGGTGGACTTCGGAAAGGTTGGGACCGAGGCCGTCTCCAGCAGGCTGTGCGCCTCGCCGAGACCTTCAAGGCCATGCATGTTGGTTTTGCGCTCTTCCTGTGCCTCCTCACACGAGGAGGAAGAGGCAGAGGCGGATGCGACGAAGGACGAGGAGACTACGGGCACGATTCTGGCGAGTTGCCAGACGGCGAACCATAGCAAGGGGCACGCGTGTCCCGGCTCTTAAACGGCACTTTAGCGATAGGTGGCTGGGGCGATGGCACCGGGTGGGGGGAGGGGAAAGGAACCACGACCACACTAACATATATGGCTCCCAGGCCAGGGCGGCCGAGGGGGTTCTGGCGCGGCCAGGGGTAGGTCAGGGAGGGAGGGCGAACGACGACCACGAACTTACAGGGTCCAGTACTTTGGAGCACAGGTTTGCCAGATAAAAGGCGCACTCCGCGGCCCCAAAGGGAGGAAGAGGAGGAGGCGTGCACCTAACTTGTCCTTTCCCCTCCCCCTTCCCCACTCCCACTCCCTCTACGGCGTTTCTCGCTTGCTTGCCTGGCGCTCTTCCCAAGTAACATGAGGGGAGAACTACGAGACGGGAGAGGAGAAGGATGAGGAGGAGAGGGGGTCAGGATGAAGGGGGGGGGGCAGAAGGAAGAGGGCGAAGAGGAGCAGGAGGAGCATGGCGATGATGTCGATGACCGTGGTGGTGATGTTTATGATGATGACGAGGATGAAGATCGTGATGGTTATGGTTTAACGATGGTCTGGTGGTGGTTTGAACGATGGTAATGTAATGCATGGTGGTGGTGGTGCTGGTGCTGATAATGATACTGGTAATGGTGATGGTGGTGGTGTTGGTATGGATGATGATGACGAGGGGTGCTATGATGATTGTGGTTATGGTGGTGGTTTGGTGGTGAGGGGAAGGGAAAGGAGGGGAAGGAGGATGATCAGTAGGAGTAGAAGTAACAGTACGAGTAAGAGTTCCATGCTGGCGTCCAAATTTCTGAAGTTGTCAAAAGGGTAACCCATTCATAGACTTTGGGCAACGCTTCATAGACTTAGGGCAACGACGAAACGTTAATTCTGGTTCAATCGCCAGCACGGGTCGGGGACGCCTTCGTTGTGCATTCCTGGCCGCCCAACAGCTGCTGGTCACCAAACATTCCGCACACTGCACAAACGCGTGCACCCAACCCCCAGCGATGTGCAACTTCACTCCTGGGGAAGGGTCCAAAAGGGAACCGTTCAAGGCCGCGAGCTTATGACAGGGCGAATCCCTTCAACGACGTCACTCCGAGATCGACGAAGAGTTTCGACACCTGCGGCAGCCGACGCCCCGAATCGTCCAGCGCCTGGCTGCTGGACAGCACAGAGACGGCCCCGGGGCACGGCAGGGGCCAGACAAAGTAAGTGCACATGAGGAGGAGGAGGAGGAGGAGGAGGAGGAGGAGGAGGAGGAGGAGGAGGAGGAGGAGGAGGAGGAGGATGAGGCGGAGGAGGAGGAGGAGGCGGAGGAGAGGAGGAGGAGGATGAGGAAGAGGAGGAGGAGGCGGAGGAGGAGGACGAGGAGGAGGAGGCGGAGGAGGCGGAGGAGGAGGAGGAGTCGGCGGAGGAGAAGGAGGAGGAGGAGGAGAAGGAGGAGGAGGAGGAGGCGGAGGGGGAGTGCGAGGAGGAGAAGGCGGAGGAGGAGGAGGGAGGAGGAGGAGGGCGGAGGAGGAGGCGGAGGAGAAGGAGGAAGGAGGAGGAGCAGGTAATCCACCCCCACTGCGAGCACCACCTCTGCTGCGTCTCTTTTCTCCTTCCGAGCCTGCTCCTCCCCTTGGCGGCCCTCGCGTCGGCAGGTGGGCGAGAAACAGCCGCGTCTCCGCGCAGGGAGGGCGCGGTGCAAACAAGCGCGTCGCGGCGGCATCTTCTCCGAGGCGGGGATTTTTCCATAACCACCGCCTGGGGGATCGACCTCGCGGACCTCCACAGGCGGTGGATAATGATATATTCTAATATTCGGGCCCCCCGGGGCTGGACTATGTCCATATCCACCGCCCGCTTGGGCACCAGGGCGTCGGTTCCCGCCTCGTAGCTTCGCCTGCCACGGCATAGGCCGTGGCGTTCCCGCGTGCGAGCGGGCTCGAAGTGCCCGCGGTCATCATCGCAACGTACAGATGGGACTTGACAAAGAAATCCGCACATGGCTAGCACATCTATGCCGAGGCACCTCTCCAACCTTTGCCCATAACTCTGCCAGCTCACAGCTGGGGGAACGATACCTCTGTTCTTACCATCCGCCATACGCCATCTGAGTACCATTGAGGTACATTGCGTGGTTGGTGGCCAACCTGGCGTCCATCAGTAGCATGTACAATCCGCGTCAGGGGACAGACTAGATGCCAGGCGGATGGCCCAGCACAGCGCTCTGAATGGTCAAGTCCTTCTCGCTGCACACTGGGACGAGACCGCAACCAACACGACGACACCGTGGATCCTTCAACTCCGCTCCTCCTGATGCGTTGCCAGACAGGACGACTGGCTGCGACTGGGTGCCCTTGTCGAGAGCACCATCGCAGACCCCGTTGAGCAATGCGCCGCTCCCGCACTGTGCCTCTTGCACAGCTGGGGCCGAAACTGCAGTCCATTCCCCGGCATCAGGCCTCGCAGCCAGAAGGCCTGGTCGACCTCATGCTGCGCCATCGCCGCTGGAAGCAGACGTGATCGCCGATAAGCGTCTGCATCGCAGTCTTCCGACAGCCTCAGCTGCGACGACACGGCCTCTCGATCTGGCCTCGGCACCGGTAATACGTCTGGCCCACCACGATCTTCGCAGAGGCTGCTGCTCGACGCTCGCGTGGCCACGGCCCCCCCAGCACACATAGAGACCATGATCTCGGCAAGTCGCCGTCCTCCACGGAGCTCCTCGAGCTAGCGGAGCAGCCACTGCAAAGAAGCTCATCCGCACCGTCCTGCAGCCCATTGCCGCAGAAGTGCAACGTAGCCTTCTGCCAGAATGCTGCTGCCGAGGAGGATGAGGAGGAAGAGGAGGAGGAGGGGGAGGCGGACGAGGAGGACGGCGCGGAGGAGGAGAAGGAGGGGACGATGGAGGCGCGGGGGAGTCGCATAGAATGGGGAGGCGGACGTGCTGCGACGCCTTCTCGCCGTGTACCTGCACCAGGACTCGAGCGAGGATTTGCAGACGAAGGCGCCTCCGCGCGGCAGTCCTGCGGGGCCCAGAGTCCTGGCCCAGAAGAGGACGGAGAGGAGGGTGCGGATAAGGATGATATGGATGACGCTGATTTTGAGGTTGCAGATGCTGAGGACGAGGACGACGACGATAAGCATGCTCCTGATGCTGGTACTGATGCTGATGCTGATGCTGCTGTCGATGCTGGTGAGGCTGCTGCTGACGCTGATGCTGCTGATGACGATGATGAGGGCGATGATGTTGATGATGGTGATGATGATTATACTGCTGATGAAGATGATGCCATTGTGATGGTGATGGTGATGGTGTAGTTGACGACGATGCTGCTGCTGACGATGCTGGTTATGGTGATGATGACAATGGCGATGACGATGATGATGATGCTGATGCTGATGATGATGACGATGATGTGATGATCATCATGATGACGGTGACGACGACGATTATGATGAAGCTGAATGTGAATATGCTGATGATGATGCTGATCGTGCTGATGTTGCTGCTGATGCTTATCCTTATGTGGAGAATGATGCTGATGGTGATGATGGCGCTGCTGCTGATGATGATGCTGATGATGACGTTGAACATGATACTGAGGATGAGGACGATCAGAAGGATGAGGATGAGGATGCGGATGAGGATGAAGATGATAGTGATGACGAGGATGAAGATGAAGATGATGATGGTGATGCTGATGGTGGTGATGACGATGCTGAAAATACTGACGATGCTGATGCTGATGGTGATGGTGATGGCCTTTGGATGCTGATGTGATGATGATGATGCTGACCGCATACATCGTCATAGTAATAATGACAATGATAACTATGCTGCTGCTGATGATGATGGTGATGATGATACTGATGATGATGACGACGATGCCGATTCTGATGATGGTGATGATGCTGATTATGATGCTAATGCTGGTGACCATGATGGTGGTGATGGTGATGATTCTGATGATGATGATGCTGATGGCGATGACGGTGTTGATGATGAATGCGATGATGATGATGATGATGATGATGATGATGATGATGATGATGATGATGATGCTGATGCTGATGATGATGATGATGATGATGATGATGATGATGATGATGATGATAACGATGACGATGACGATGATGATGAGGAGCAGGATGATGCTGATGACGATGATGGGGATGGTGATGATGATGATGATGATGATGATGATGATGATGATGATGATGATGATGATGATGATTATGGCGATGCTGATGCTGCTGCCGATGATGATGATGATGATGATGATGATCCTGATGCTGATGATGATGCGGCTGATGATGCCGCTGCTGCTGCTGCTGCTGATGATGATGATGATGATGATGATGATGATGATGATGATGATGATGGTGTGGTGATGCTGATGATGATGATGATGATGATGATGATGATGATGATGATGATGATGATGATGATGATGCTGATGCTGATGCTGATGCTGATGCTGATGCTGATGCTGATGATGATGATGATGATGATGATGATGATGATGATGATGATGATGATGATGATGATGATGATGATGATGATGATGATGGGAGCCGGCCAGGACGGAGGAGGATAAGGAGGATGATAAGGAGGACGAGGGTCCATCCCCCCTGAGGGTACGATTCTCGCTCGGACCCGCTCCACAACCTCACTTTCTACAGACCTCCACGCTGCGCCATGCTTGGCCCCGCGCACCCCGCTTCCCCGCGCCTCCCCTCTCTGCCCCACGCCACCCGCTGGCCCGCGCCGCCTGCTCAGCCACACCTGCTTGCCGCTCCGCCCGTAGTTTTCCCAGGCTCGCCACACTCGCTACGCCAGCACCTTCTCTCCCACCTCTGCACCTGGGATGGTGAGGAGATGCGGTCAGGAACTTGTGCTCAGCGCCCGCTCTCGGCGACACGCTAACCAGCGTCAGCCTCCCGAGCTTTTCCCAGCCTCCCGCCACGCGGAGCGGACTGACACGCTATCCGCTTGCAGGGCAAAGCGTATGGCCGCTGTGGCCGCTGCCGCGAAACGCGAAGCAGAAATTCCCGACCGTAATGGGGATGGGGTGAGGTGGGGTGGCGGACCATTCGCACCTGGACGGGCTGGTGGGTGCGATGCATTTTTGGCTATGATGCTCCAGACTCTCGCTCACTGCGCGAGGTGCCTTGGATTCCTTACCTGGGCGGCCCTCGCTGCTGGCACGCCCTTGCCGCCGTCCATGTTCCAGTTGCCAACCCTCTGTCCTTGCTCCCAGCAGAGAGTGCGCCGAGGCGGGCCCACCTTCCCCCTCGGGAGGTTGGGGTCCGCGCTCGACCCCCCCCCCCAGTCATGCGTGCCCGCCCGCCCCAGGTGCCCCCCGCAGTGCTTGGACCCCCACAGCTCAGCCACGCGCAGAGGGGGGGTATGGGGGATGGGGGGAAGGCTTCTTAGAAGCCCCCTGCTTCTAAGATGGCGCGGGCTTTCTCTATGGATGAAGGGCCGGCGCCTTCTAAGAAGCGGCCTCCTTCTGAGCAGCCTTCCCCCCTCCCCTCACCCCCCATCTGCGCGCCGCCAGCAGGTGCCCACGCAGTGCTTGGACCTCCCACAGCACTCCGTCTCGCTAGACTGCCCTCCCCCCCCGCAAGGCAGGCACGGCTGTGCTCGGGAGCCCGGGAGAGCGGCCAGGTCCGTATATCCGTGCACACACACACATCGAGCTGGCACAGACGGGGTCCACTGCAAACGGGGGTCCGCCAGAGCGCCAGATCCTGGAGGATCGTGGGCATTTTCTGATTCCTTTTTTTTTGCCGATCGGCGCCGGCCCTCGCTCACACCCCCCCCTCCCCCCCCTATGGAGTAGATCTTGGCTGTTTTTGGTGCCTGTTTCGAGCAGGTGGGGTACCTCCCCTATTGGTCGCACTGCTGCAAACAGTCGCACCAAGCAGAGGTCCAGAGCCAGACCCCCCCCCCTTCCGCCCAATGTCGAAATGCCGAATAAAAAAACGCTGACATCCTGCAGAGCCAGGGTTGCATTGACCCGTGCATGCGCGCAGGATCCTACAGGATCTTGCAGGATCCTACAATGCTTGGAGGAACCCGGGTTTGCATTGATCCAGGTCAGTAGATCTCCGAATGCAGGCGCATCCACACCTTACCACCCCTATTTTCTCTGCCTGCACCTCCAGGAGCCCCCCCGCCGTTCGATCGTCCCTTCTTCTCCGCTTACCTTCAGGTTCTCTTGGCCTCTCTCCAGCGCGGGACGGGAAGAGTGGATCATCGAGGGCATCGGAGGATCATTCGACACCATCTGGAGCTCGGAGCTCGCAGGACGAGGAGGAAGAAGAGGATGAAGAGAGAAATGCGGCGTCCCTGGAGACTCCAATGGCTGCAAGCTTCAATCAGGCTTCAGGCTTCAGGCTTCAGGCTTCAGGTTTCTGGAGGAGGATGACTAGGAGGAGGAGGAGGAGGAGGAGGAGGAGGAGGAGGAGGAGGAGGAGGAG